CGGCCTGATTCAGAAATATTTTTTTAAAAAGCAACTACAGCTGTTGTTAAATATGTATCGTGCTTTATAGTTGTATCTGAAATGTGCAGATAATTACTTAGTCTTCGGTTCTTAGACTTGCATTTTGCAGGTGTTTTTGTGTGTACTTTACGGATATTATGGTATGTATGTACCCTGTGTTGTTTGTTATGCTGTTATGTTGTAAACCAGCCTTTTTGACAAAGAGCGGTATGTAAACTTCTTAAATAAATGACTGTGTGACGATGGAGCGCCCTCTGTTTCTTCCTAGATTGGCCAGTACATCATGTCTCTGCCTCTCCACCTGGAACCGTTTGTGACCCAGGAAGATTCAGCTCTGGAGCTGGCATTGCATGCTGGGAAGCTGCCCTTTCCTCCAGAGCAAGGTGGGGAAAGGCGAAGTTTTGAAAGGGAGCTGCTCTTGGGATTTCCCACAGCTGCCTGTGCTGGTCTTTCCTTTGCTTGAATGGTCCAGGATTACCTCTCCACGAATCCTGTTGTCGACTGTTGTCAGGCCAGGCAGGGATAGATTCATAGAACTGGATTCTTGAAAGGGAACCCAAAGGCCACCCCGGCCAGCCCCCTGCAAGACAGGAACTGCAGCTCAAGAATCCCTGACAGGTGGCCACCCAACCTTTGTTAAAAAACCTCCAACAAAGGAGATCCTGCCACTTTCTGAGGTCATCCGTTTCTTTGTTACAAGTTCTTCCTAATGTTTAGTAGGAATATCCTTCTTTCCCATTTGAAGCCATGGGAGAAAACAAGCTGGCTCCATCTTCCCTCAGATATTCCCTTCGGATATTTGAAGGTGGCTGTCCCATCACCTCTCAGTTCTCCTCTTCTCCAGGCTTATTCTAGTCGGGAGCTGGACAGCTGTGCCTGGAGCTGGGCCACCCTACATCACTCCCTCACCCTGGCCAGGATCAGGATTTGCCTTCCTTTGGGAGATATCCTTGCCTCGAGGGTCCCCTCTTCACCCCTCACTTCTTCTTGAGCATTGGGTGCTGGGATGATGAGAAGGGAGTGGGGCACCCACCGCACGGCTCAGCCCAGGAGTCTCTGCCGGGGAAACATTAGCAGAGCATGACTAATCTTGCCTTTGTTACCCATGGGCTGGAAAGGGGGGAGTGTTGGCCGTGGCCCAGGTCACCATGTTCTAATTCCCTCTTGGCGCTCAGCCCCTTGTACAAAGGCAGCTGTCTGTGTGTCTCAGGGCATGCAGTCGCCGTGGACCAGATCTGTCTGGGAGGACTGTGGTCTGGCTTATTGGTGTGAAGGGTTGGAAGCATTCCCTGAGATGTTCCCTGAAGCCAAATGGGCTGCTGGTGCCCCAGGATCTTCCCTTTTGGGGAAGGCTGTAGTAACTCAGTGGCAGAACATCAGATTTGCAGGCAAAACCGCCCTGGTCCCAGGGAATGTCTGATACCCCGGTGAGCCATTGCTGCCAATCAGTGATGACAATACTGAGCTAGATGGGCCAATTTTCTGACTCAGTGTAAGGCAGTCTGCCCTGGCACTAGACTTCTGGTTATAATTTAGGCTGCTGTTTGGATTCCAAAATCCTGTCCAGGTCCTTCTGGATGCCAAGCATTGCCTTTGTGGACTCTGTCTGTAACTTGTTCTTAGTGATTTGTCTCCCTCCCTCCCTCCCTCCCACTGGAGGTCTTCTCCAGAGCCATACTCTGCTAACCTTTGGAAAGAGCGAGAGATGAAAGAAGGGTTGGGCAAAAGTTAAAAACCTGCAGGTTGCTTGTGGTATGGGGTGTGTGGATTGAAAGCTGGCAGCCTGCTCGGTGGTGCCCCAGCAGGCCAGGAGTGGGTTTCTCTCCTCCTCTACCTCTTCCTTACATTGCCTTCAGCTGAGCAAATGCTGGAACTGAGGAACCATCATGCTGTTGGTCTTTCTAGATCAGGTCATCTGCATGAGCAGCAGTTATCCAGGGTTTCCTTCGGAGAGGGGACATTCTTAGCCCCACTTGGAGATGCCATTGGGGTTGGGACCTGGGACTTTCTTTGTGCAAAGCATGGGTGCTCTTCCCCTGAGCTATGACCCCTTCCCCTCACAGGACCAGCTGCGGAGCCCTAGTCCGAGGTGGCCCTGCTGCAAATCTTCCTAGGCAGAATAGTGCAGGGGCTCCGGAACTGGTGCTGGGGACAGCTGGTGTTCTCCTTAGAGACTAGGGCTGCCACTCTCCTTCAGGCCATAGAACACTTCACTCACCATGAACACCTCCCTTGTTCTCTTAGAATGGCAATGGCGCCTACCTGAGAGGTGCCAGAACTCAGTTCTGGTGACTTCCAATTGACATGCTTCTTTCTCCCCCCACCCTGTTGCCCCCAGGTGATGACCTCCCTGAGTTGGACAACATGGCCGACTACTGGCTGGGCTCCCTCGCCAGAGCCACGATGCAGACGTACTGCGAGGTCATTCTCCAGATCCCTGAGCTCACCCCACACTCCACCAAGCAGCTGGCCACGGATATCGGTAAGGGCGGTTGCCTCTCTTCGCAGAAGGGAGCTGGTGCTTTCTCTCTGGCTAGGATCCAGGAGGTTGTCCTTTCAACCTCTATTTCATTATTTACATCCCATCCCATTCTTCCAAGGTGGAATACATGGTTCTCTTAGGTCAGGCTGAGAGACACTGACTGGCCCAAAGTCACCCAGACAGTTTCATAGCTGAGCAGGGATTTGAACCCTGGCCTTCCAGTTCCTAGCCCAACACTCTAACCACCATACAACACTGCCTGTCAGTGAAGATCCCCTGGGAATCTCCACCAGGATAAGGATTTTGGCCACTACCTTGTTGGGACTCATCCCTTTCTCTGGGTGCAGCTGTCAGCTGCTTTGGACAAATCAGGGCTTTGAATCAGGCTGAGGTCTGGTCCTGACAGATCTCACGCCTGTCTGTTGGGTGGGGAGGGGGCTGCCTATCCTCTTTCTTTTCCCTCTGACCAGCATTTGGCTTTGCAGATTATCTGGCCAACGTGATGGATGCTTTGGGCCTCCAGCCTTCCAAGGCTCTGCAGAACATGGTGGCTCTCCTGAAAACCAAGCCTGAGGACTACAAGCAGACGGCCAAAAGCTTTCCCCGTCGCTTGGCCACCAGCATCGCAGCCATGAGGGGCCTGGACTACTAAATTCCTTGATTGCTCCTAGCACAAAGTTCAGAATCCTAGGCTGGCACTTGGATGCAGAAACATCCGAGGTGCGTGGAGACTCAGAACTCCTTGGAGCAGGACGGACGGACTCCTTCCCAGGTGGAGGAACGCTGTCGAAGCACAGAAGAGATGTGGGCACTTGCGAGGGAGAGGGTTAATCTGTAAGTCGCTCAATAAATTTCTTAAAAGAGGCAGCTGTTCCCCAAGGAAGCTTCTTCGGAGATTGGGGAGACCTTGGGCATATGCAAACAGCGCTGTCACCTGTATTTGGGGTGGAGGCACCCATCACCATGCTGATCAGATATGGGAGAATGGTTGCTGGAATCAGACCAAGTGGGTGGGAGGGTGAAGGGGCAAGGCGCCTCAACAAGCACCCAGCTGCTGTTCTGATTGCAACTTCAGATCACTCCCAGCTTACGCAGGGGTTACGTTCTGGCACCCCAGAAAATCACGTAAGTGGGGAACAGCCTCTAAACACCCTTTAAATGCTCAGCCTGTCCCCTCTAATCCCTTCAAGCAGCGCCTGCTCCATAATCGCATTTCTTAATGGGCATGGCTGGGGCACTGCTCCTGTCTTGTGCTGCAGAAGGGACAGGCCTGCTAATCTGTGCCGGCTCTGGCATGATGGGGCACGATACCTGCCAGGCATCAAGCACCTCTTGTTCAAGGGTGTCCTCATGCAGCAGGTAGAGGCTCCTCCTGAAGGGACCTGTCTGTGCTGCGCCTGCTAGGCCAGGGAACCAGTTCTGTGGGTTGCTGTAATGAGATTAACGCTGCCTGGCTTGTGAGAGGCCCAGGCTCCTTTCTTGGAATTTGGATGTGATGCTCTTGTTCCTTCCTGGGAAAATCCAGTCATCAGTTCTAAAAAGCCCTAATTTGTTCTTGCCTCAACTGAACATAGGGCAGCCAGGATGGCTGAGAACAGCAGGAGAGTCTGGCTTCAGCTAGTTCAGGTAAAAAAGAGGGCCTGCCGTAGTCCTGTTTCTGCCAGATGCCCCAAAGGGAAGAAGCCACCAAGCTGGACCTGAGCACAACAGGGACTCTCTGTCGTAGCCCCATCAAAGTCTTGTTGCTGAGCAAGCAAGGGCTAGGAGTCTATGAGGAACACTTGCCTGAGAGCAGAATTCACATGTGAAGTCAGACAGTTCAAAGGTCAGGGAACCCAGACGATCACAGAGCCAAGGGTCAAGATGGAGAGCAGGAAGTAGCAAGGTAGGGCCAGGAACCACAGGCGTTGTTTCCAGCACCTGACTGTTGCTGAGAGCTCTGTTTAAGAAGCCCAGAGCCAGCTGGTTTTCATTGGTGCCTTCTGCTCTGTGACCTTGAAGACTGATCAGGTGCAGGTGGAGTCACTTTGCCTTCACCCCCTTCAGGCTGCTGTTCAGCAGGTAAAGCTGACTCCTGGCCCATGACACTCTCTCTACCTGGGCTTTCCAGCCACTGGTATTCAGAGGCAATGATTCCTGCGACCCACAAAGCAATATGTAGGCATCACGACTATTAGGTGTTCTGATAGCCCTCAACTCCATGAATTTGTTTCATTCCAATGAAAGATACCCAACTCGGTGGCCATCCTTGTCTATGGCCGAAAGCTACCAGTTACAATGGCTTGATACTCCCTTCCCCATGAGAGGCAGCAGATTGAGAGAAGGCTTTTGCCTTCATCTCTTGCTTTGGGACTTCTGGTTGGGGCATTTGGCTGATCACTACAAGAAGCAGGTGCTTCACCAATGGGAGCTTTTTGCCTGATCTAATGGAAATCCTTAATGAGGGCTAAGTGACCTTCCAACCAGCAAAACCTCTGAATTCACAAGGACCGGCAAGAAGAGAAAGCAACAGTTTATTTTCTTGACTTTTCTAGGAGCCGGACAGGTTTTTGCATTTCACACATAATTCTTTAGCTGCCAGAGCTCTTGTCAAATTCAAAACTTGCATCTGCTTGTAATTGGTGCAGCCTAGTGAAGGGATGCGGGTGACGCTGTGGTTAAACCACAGAGCCTAGGACTTGCCAATCAGAAGGTGGGCAGTTCGAATCCCTGTGATGGGGTGAGCTCCCACTGCTCGGTCCCTTCTCCTGCCCACCTAGCAGTTTGAAAGCACGTCAAAGATAAATAGGTACCACTCCGGCGGGAAGGTAAACAGCATTTCCGTGTGCTGCTCCGGTTCGCGAGAAGCGGCTTAGTCATACTGGCCACATGACCCAGAAGCTGTATGCCGGCTCCCTCAGCCAATAAAGTGAAGTGAGATGAGCGCCGCAACCCCAGAGTCGGCCACAACTGGACCTAATTTAGGTCAGGGGTCCCCTTTACCCTTTTACCTTAGTGAAGCTTGCGCCTAAAATGTTCCTTCTCCTCCCAAGTCTGGGGTTAACAAACTCTGGCCTGGTCAGGTGGGTTATGCAAGCAGGTGAGCAGATGGGGCTTGCCTGTTTCAAGGGCCCTCTTTCTGGCTCTGTAACAAAAAAATAAAAACCTGGCAGTGTATGGGGTGAGGGGTGTTCTTCTCTAGGCTCAGGGCACATCTTGAGTGGAGCAGGCAGGAGAGCAATGTGAGGCTTGGACTGCACCCTCTCCTCCCCCTAGCCCACCTGGTGGCAGGTGTCAGTTTTGTGCACGTGGCGTTTGGGTGCCGTTTTCTGCAACTTGCCAAAACAGGCTGGGGAAGAGGGGGAGGAGCCTGGCTTAGGCAAGCCGACGATTGTGAGGCTTAGTCCTTGCTTGCCTGGCACAGCATCCTCTCTTGAGGGCAGCCTTGCCATATGCTCTGGTGACCAAGTGGGATGGGCTGGCTGTGGACATTCCTCCTGGGCTGGTCCGTCAGGCTGGCCCCTTTCTGACGGACAGCCTGAGCCAAGCAGTGGCCTGCACAGACCGGATCCAGCTGTCTGCAGCAGGTGGCCTCTCCTAGTTCCTGGGATCACTTTGCCCTCGCTGCCATCCTGCCCATTTTTATGGGCTTGTTCGTGGCTCAGCTCTCGATTCACCCGGGGCGGGGGAGAGACTTGCAACAGCAGTGCTGGGGGGGTTGGGAAGGGCCAGCCTCTGGGAGGCTGCAGCAAGGCTCCTCCTGCACAAGGCAACTCTAGGCCTACTGCAAAGGGCAGGTCCGTCTCTGCAGCTTGGGGGCTCTTTTTTGTCCTCCGGTATGGTCAGTGGGGGTGGGAGGAAGGAGCTGGCGCCTTGGCTGGTTGCTTGGCTGAAGGAAGGTCTCTCTCCCCCCAACACCCTGAAGCTATCACCTTCCCATCATCTCTGCACAGCCCAGTCCCAGATATTTTGTTGCCTAAAAGCAGCTCTCCCCTTCCCTTCCCAGTTTAGGTGACTTTTGGGGCCTGGAATCTGTCTAATGCAAGGTGTCAATAGCCATGACAGGAGAGGCAGGCGCTGTCCGTGGGAGGCAGAGGGCTGTGGAGCATTTCAGGCAATTGGCCTCTCGCATAGCCTGATCCTTTGAACCCCTCCTACCACTTCCTTCTCTTCCATTTCCCAGGTAAGTTTAGGGGAGTGAAGTTCAGGAAAGCAGGAGTCAGGTGGCCAGAGAGCAGTATCTATATATCCCCACCAGGGGGCTATTTACTCCCCTTTTGCCCCCTTGTATTGCTGAGCTCCCTTTAGGAGGCGATCAGCCCAGGGGAGCATTGCTTGATGTGATGCTCGTCTACCTTTTCTAGCTCTGTGATTCTCCCCTTGTCCCAGCTCTTCTGCTAATTGGCACGAGGCCAGTTGCACAGACCTTCATCCATTTTATACATGTTATACTAAACATGTGCATGTGTGTCAGTGTGTATGGCTGGCACAAGGCGTAAGCCCTTGATTATCATGCCACCTTCCTCGCTGGAGGCTGGTGCATCATAGAGGCTCCCATGTGCAGGAAGAGGCCACCTGATTGCCAACCAAAACTGGGCGCATTCTGCCAAAGAGATCGAAAAGGAAGCAGCATCTTTATTGGTGTGTCATGTGCCTCTTTTCCTAGAGCACATTAGCCTATGCTCCAATTCACATCAAGTAGAGGAGAGGGTGGGAAGAGGAGGAGGTTTGAGGAAGCAGGCAAGGCAGTTGCTCTGTCTGTCTCGTTTATTGTTAGCCCACAGAAAGGCCTGAGCTGTAGGAAATGGGAGGTTGCTTGTATCGCTCTCTAACAAGCACAGGTTGATGGTGGACTCCTCTTCTGCTTCCCTTCATCTAAAATAAACCCCACCCACAAAGAGTCCAACTCATAAAATGTTTTCCACCACAGGTGAGTTGGTATTCTACAAAGGACTCTTACCCTCTCCCTCCAAACAAAAACACCCTCCCCTCCCTGCAGTGTCACCATCTTCAAAACCCCAAAGTTTGGTACAGGAGAGTCAGGTGCATGGCCAGCTGGCTCAGGCAGGCAGCAAAAGGGTTCCAGCATCACTGAAATGTCAGCCCTGGCTGGGTTAACTGAGGCATCTGGACGGAGCTTTGCAATATAACCCCCATTTCCACAACTCAGGCTCTGCCCAACCCTAAAGGGTTCCACAGAAGCTGCAGCCATGCACATTCCTCCAGCCAGGTATGATGCTCCAACTAAGCAGATGAGCAAAATGGGAGACCTCCAACTGGTTAGTGTTTTGCAGGGGGGAGTCCAGCACAGACCAGAATGTCCATGTCTGTGTGCTTAAAAGTGCTCTGCCACCCTAACCCAACAAATCCACTGGGGGGGGGCAGACCACCACCACAGACAGACTTTGGGCAGTTAGGATAGTGACAGAGAAGTGTACCAATGATGAACTATTGATTATGCAAGTGAATCAGAATGAATGCACATTTGCCGTAAACAAAGCAGAACAGACAGACAAAGCAGACTGGGCATGCCCTGACCTCTGTGCAATTCAATCGGGACAAAAGCTGAATCAGGAGCCCAAGGAGAAAGGGCTTTGCATTAGCAGCCACTCTTGAATCCCTAAATGTCCCACGCTGCAAGGAGCTGAGGGAGAAGGAGCAGGCTGTCTGGGTGGGCATTCCTGCATGGACTAGAAGACCCTTGAGGTCCCTTCCATTCTGAAAGTCTACGAAGCTCCTTTGGAGGACAGAGTGGGATTTCTTGGCTCCCCTTCCACGTCGGCTGGGCGTTAAGCTTTAGTCGGATCTACTTCCCCATCGCTATCCATCTCCATGACATCCATGGCTGATACGCGGAGGGAGTCGTACTGGGGAGGTGGCGTTCCTGGTTCAGACCCAGCCTCACCATCTGCGGCCAAGTCGTTGTCCCCAGGATTGCCATTGGCTCCCTCCTCCCCTTCCTCCCCCCCTTGGAAGCCCAGGTTGGTGTGAGCCTCCACTCTCTTGGACACGGTGGGCAGAGCGTCCTGCTTCGGGGGCTGGCTCTGCTTTCTCCTCAGCCCCTTGAACCAGCCAATCAGCTTCAGGACAGTGATCCAGACAAAGTCGATGAGGATCTCTCCAAACTCAATGATGCACAGCACAGAGCCTCCCATCCAGAAGCCAAACTGGCCACCCAGGCTTGAGAGAAGCCAGACAACCTGCAATGGGAAGAATCACAGGTTGAGAAGACGCATGGAGCAGGGGGAGGTAAGGGGGGTCCTGACCCCAGGGGGGAAACTGTTTGCTTTGAGGATGGCCTTCCAGTGGAACAAGTCCAGTGGATGGAATAGGCTTTGTATCCAAGTTGTCCTCACTGGACTTTTATCACAAAAATCCTTATTTTGCAATCATGCCTTGGATCCCGAATGCCTGGTGAGTCAAATGTTTTGGCTTCCGAACGCCGCAAACCCGGAAGTGAGTGTTCTGGTTTGTGAACGTTCTTTGGAAGCCGAGCGTCCAGTGTGGCTTCTGTGCCTTCTAGTTGTGTGCAGAAAGCTCCTGCAGCCAATCGGAAGCCGCACCTTGGTTGTCAGACATTTTCAGAAGTTGAATGGACTTCCAGAACGGATTCCGTTCGACAACCAAGGTATGACTGTATTGTAGTACAGTGGTACCTCGGGTTATGTACTTAATTCATTCTGGAGGTCCGTTCTTAACCTGAAACTGTTCTTAACCTGAAGCACCACTTTAGCTAATGGGGCCTCCTGCTGCCGCTGCACCACCGCCACACAATTTCTGTTCTCATCCTGAAGCAAAGTTCTTAACCCGAGGTAATATTTCTGGGTTAGTGGAGTCTGTAACCTGAAGCATATGTAACCTGAAGCGTATGTAACCCGAGGTACCACTGTATTCCCAGCCAAGGACACAACCAATTTCAGAGGGGAAACTAACAAGACTTCAGCTTTTAAATAAACTATCGGGGGGAGTGCTGGAGATTCAAAAGCTGAAGAGTGAACAGTTTACGCTTGTCTTTATTCCAAAGTTGGAATGAGCTCTGAGGTCTTTCCCATCTCATCATAGTCCTGGAGAGCTCTCCTGCTCACAGACGGCTCCCATTCTTTAACACCAAATCAGTATTTTCCCAGAGGCCACAACTCACCCTTTGCAACATGTGAAATAATAGCATCCCTGAGACAGTTTCTGTGACAACTCAGAAACAAAAGCCAAACCAGGAGGCACCTGAGAGAAGGGAAATGCATTTCCAGTGCAGAGGGCGGGGCTTAAAACACATCCCGCATTACTATTATACAACCCCCCACCCTGTGCTTCATAGAATAGGCTGAGCAAGGGGATCTGGACCCAGCCCACTTACAGTTGTCCCTGCTGTCTCCACAATGGTTCGGTAGTTGTACTCTTGGAAATAGATGTTGAGCTTGATGATCCCACTCCTGCAGGAAGCGAGAGGAGAATGTTCATCAAACATTCATTCACCAGGCCTGATAAGCTGCTGCCTGAGATCCTGCCCTTCCCTTCCTATAGGCTCCTGCCCTGAAGTTGGTGGTCATCACCGCCTCCTGTGGCAGGGAGTTCCACAGTTTCTCTGTGCTGTGCAAAGAAATACTTTCCTACATCTGTCCTGAATCTCCCAGCTTCACTGGACTTCTGAGCATTAGCAGAGAGGGAAAAAAAACTTTCCCCTATCCATTTTCTCCACGCCACAGGCACCCCACTCTCACTTGGTGGCTCTGGTGTACGTGGCACACAGGAAGGCTCAGCAAACAAGGCTGTGGCAGCCGCTGCAGCTGCAAAGTGTGCCTATAAACCTGGGGCCATTTGCCCAACTTCCGGCTGCTCCGGAGCTGCCAAGATCAAACTGGTTGCAGTTTGCGGGAGAAGGCTGAGACACTTTGCAGAGCTGCAATTTCGCAATCAGTGGAGGTAAAAGGCTTGCAATATGGCGGCGGCAGCTGCTGCAAGGGACCATGCACCGCCTGGAACAGCTGGGGCTGGCTGAAGCGCATTCCTCCTGGGCCTGCCTTTGCCACAAGAGCTTTCCAAAGTGGGTTCTGGGCCTGGAAGATTGGCACCTCCTGGGGCCTCAGAAAGCAGGGAGAGCAGCTAGGCTGGGCGAGTCTCAGAAGCCAGAGGAGGCTTTGGAGGTTCTCACCTGTGCTCTGTGGCCAGAGCAGACGCAAAAAAGAGGAGCCATGCATAAGGAGCAGCAACTATCCCAAGAAGGCCTGATGGGAGCAGGGAGAGCACAGCACCCTGGGCTTGGCCCTCAGCAGCTGAGCATCACAAAAACTTCCCTGGAGAAGGGGCCTTCATCCTACATACCTTGGCTCTACGGGCTGGTGTGGTTCGGAATCTGCTGAGGGCTCCCTCCCCCTCCTCCCCACTTGCTTGATCCTGGAGGTGTTGGGGAGAGGCCGCAGCCTGATGGATCTCTGCTTGCTCTCTGCCTGGCAAGCGGTTAGATGGCAGGGATGAGGAGCAGCCAGGGAGGGGGGCAAGGGCTGGATGAGTTCTTGCCTCAGGCCCCTCCAAGCCCTGGAGCCAACCGTGCCTCTACCACATATTGATTTTTACTGCACTCATAGCCCACCCTTTTCTCCAAGGGGTTCAAGGTGGTGTACATGCTTCTTTCCCCCTTCTCACTGAATCCCTGCAACAACCCTGTGAGGTAGGTTCCACTGAGAGGCAGCAGCTGCCCCATACAGGGCTGAGTGGGGATCCAAACCCAGGTCCTCGTCTGGCACTCTAACCACTGCACCACACTGTCTTTCAAGCCCCAGGCTGCCAGCTTAAGTAGCTGCCTTCCCTTCTTCTGACGCGGATGGCGCTGTGGGTTAAACCACAGAGCCTAGGGCTTGTCGATCAGAAGGTCGGCGGTTCGAATCCCCGTGACGGGGTAAGCTCCCGTTGCCTGGTCCCTGCTCCTGCCAACCTAGCAGTTCGAAAGCACGTCAAAGTGCAAGTAGATAAATAGGTACCGCTCCGTGCACTGCTCTGGTTCACCAGAAGTGGCTTAGTCATGCTGGCCACATGACATGGAAACTGTACGCCGGCTCCCTCTGCCAATAAAGCGAGATGAGCACTGCAACCCCAGAGTCGGCCACGACTGTACCTAATGGTCAGGGGTCCCTTTACCTTTACCTTCCCTTCTTCTGCATCTCCCTGTCTAACCCCCCCCCCCAGCCCTCCTCCTTGTGTCTCCCCACCCGCTCCTTGTGGCTCATGGAGCAGCTGGCTTTTACTCACCTGTCCACAGTGATATCGCGTGACTTATTTCTTTCATAGGATAAAATATGGAATATCCAGTTCTAGAAAGAAGAAACAAAATAAGGTTTCTGGAAGGAGGGATGCTCTGACTGCCATCTGTGTGCAGGACGTCCGTCCCCCCCCTTTTCCTTACTTGTACATGCAACGTCAGGTGCCTTGCAAATGAATAAATGTAAATGAATTAATTGATTGCCTTTCTGACGTGGGTACATTTTTAGAAACATAAAGCACTTTTATCCATTCAGGGCAAATAAAAGAAAGTACTTCTCCACGCAGTTAAACTATGGAACTCCCTCCCACAGGAGGCAGTCATATTCACCAACCTAGATGACTTTAAAACAAGATTAAACAAATTCATGGAGAAGAGGGCTATCAATGGCTATTTGCCACAATGGCTATGCTCTACCTCCATGGATGAAGGCAGCAATGCTACTGAATGCCAGTTGCTGGAAACCTACACGAGGGGAGAATGCTTGCAGGCTTCCCAATGGGGGCATCTGGTTAGTCGCTGTGAAAGCAGGGAGCTGAACTAGATGGGACCCCTTTGATCTGATCCAGCAGGCTATTTTGTTCTTAAAACAGGAGCTTATTTTTTTATTTTTAATATTCCCTATTGGATGAATTTCATCCCTTTTAAATCGAGCCACTTCTCTTTGTGTTTTTTAAATAAATTTAATCTTACGCACCCGAATCTGGGACTGAGCTGCTTTAAAAGCCCCAACCACCTTAGCATCTACCCAACTCCATGTGGGTAGATCTTCAGAACATCCAGAAGACAAAAGATTTCCCCAAAAGCATCTCCGGGAGACCCACCTCAGAAGCTTCAGAAGGCCAGTCAGCCATGGAGATAGTCATCTTGTACTGGGTGTTGCTGTCAAAAAAGGAAGGAGAGAGAGTTGTCATTCCCTGTCCCCCCTTCCCCGTCTCTTTGCACAGCAAAGCCCAGCTGGGTTATTCCAGCTGCCCCACTGGAGAGGCCCAGGGGTCAGTGCAAGAAGGAGAGCAGGACTTCTGTGCCTCGGGAACTTGGTGGGATGCCACCTGTACTTACTTGCAGGTCTCCTTGCAAGACTTGATGCAGGTCTGACGGATCTCCAGTTGGTTGCGCAGCTCAGAGAAGCAATATGCTGCAGAGTTCAAACAAAGCACAGTCTTTGCTTTCAGGAACTTGAGTGGAGTTGTTTTCTGCCTGCTGAATTTGCGGGGCTTAAAAGCTCGTGGAAGTGTCAAAGGGGGGAGGATTGTTCCTGTGATGCCTGCTTCCCTCACTCAGGGCTGGATTTAGGTCTGATGAGGCCCTAAGCTGCTGAAGGTAATGGGTCCAGCTGTCCTTTGTCAACAACAAATCATCCCTGTTTTTTGTGTTGAATATATGCTATATAGTAATTTATGGACCTAATAGGTATCTAAAGCCATTCAGAAACACTGTTGCTGTATGTAGGTTATATTTTATTTGTTTTTTATCTTATATTTTGGAAATGTACATCCAGGTTTTTTCCCTTTAAATTTTTTGGGGGCCCCCAAGAGAGAGGGGCCCCTAAGCTATAGCTTGTTTAGCTTATACGTAAATCCGGCACTGCCCTCACCCCAAGTCAAGCTGCTGTTGTCCGGAGCGGAACTGAAGGTCCACACTGCTCTGGCAACCCGTCCCACATTCATAAGAACTTGACCTTATGGTGTGGCAGCACTCCCTGCCTATTGATATCAGGCAGGCACCTTCACTGCACACCTGCCGAAAACATAATTGTTTAAATCTGTCTTTAATATATTGTTATTTAAACTTTTCAAACATTTAAATTATTGTTGTTGATTTACACTTTTAATGCTTTTTTTGTGTAAACCACTTTGAGGTGGATTGTTGTGTTTTTACTATCAAGTGGTGTATATAGACTCTATGAAATAAAACAAAACAGATATCTTCACAAGTTGAATCTAAAATTGCAAGCTTTGACACTTCACTTTTAAAAAAACCCCAAATGATGGAAAGACATTCAAAACAAAAACAGATGCATGAGTTTTAATTCCTGGCCCTTTCAAGGCATTGCGCGGGCTCCCAGTGTCCCTTCATTGCTTGACTAATCCATCATGGTCAATGACCCATTTACACAGGTGGAACACACACAATATCCAACACCCACTAAATAAACCAAATAGCTGTAACTAAACAAGGAAGCTGGACTGCTTGGGCAGTGTTTGCAGAGCAAACACACTTTCCCCAAGAAGGGGAGCACCCCCCGTGTCCTTTCCGTGTCCATTCTCACCCCAGTCTGGAAACTCCTTATTGTTGCAGTAAGGCTTCCCTTGGACCCTAGGGAAGGAGTAGTGGCAGCAGTTGCAGTCCTTCACCATCCAAGCTTGGAAGCAGGAACGTAGGCAAGCCTGGAGGAAGAGAAGACCCTGCTTAGAGCCAGCGAATTCCCAAGAGGACTTGGAATCACAGAATGGTAGAGTTGGAAGGGACCACGAGGGTCATCTGGTCCAATCCCCCTGTAATGCAGAAATCTTTTGCCCAATGTGGGGCTCAAACCCACAACCCTGAGATTAAGAGCCTTATGCTCTACCGATTGAGCTATCCCTCCAAGAGGGGACCTTGGGTTAAGTCTCTTCTCAGCCTCCATCCCCCATGTGAGGAGGGAGACCAACTGAGAAAGGACATCACCTGTATTTCTAGCCAGGAGTGGCTTGGAGTGCTGCAACTGGTAAATCAAACCTTGGGTCAGGCCCAACCGTGACCTCAGCAACCCACCACTATCGGACCCTCTTGAAACTGCATCAAAAGTTGCCAAGGAGACACAACTTGGGACAAACTTGCTTGACTGGATGGTCGAGGGGGAACAGAACATGGCCTGTATTACTTACCTGGATGGAGTAGGTTGTCCTGTAGACCCCTCCTGTGGAGCTTTCCTTGCGGTCTTCCATGGTGCAGTTGGAGCAGGGCTCAGTCGGCACTGTTTCCTCCTGCAGGGAGGAGGAGGAGGGGAGAAGTAAAACCTTTCTGGATTTGTTGGGTCAGGAAATCCTCCTTGCCCCTTGCCCCAGCTACCTGTCCCTGAGGAAAAGGGCAACCTAGGCGAGTTAGGTTTCCACTGTATCTCCTCCTGCTGAGACCAGATCCTAGGATTGTAGAATTGCAGAGCTGAAAGGGACTCCAAGGGTCTTCTAGTCCAACCCCTTGCAATCCTCAAGAACCCCTGACCGACGACCAGATAAGCTGATTCCACTCAATTCCTAGTGGAGGGATCAGGGGGAAAGCCCAACCAACCCTGCCCCCAAGCACTGGGGAAGCTCCGTTTATCTGAATCCACCCAACATCCCATCATAGGACTTAGAAGTGGTTGTGACCCAGCTCCCTACTCCCTCATCTTGGCAAGAGAGGTTCTTCTGCAGACTAGGAGGCTCCATTCAGTCTAAAAACCTGACTCATCCTAAGCCTGGAATGGGCAAAAAAGTGCATATTGGATTTGGGACTGAAGTTCCCCCAAGATTTTATAATGTCCCTACATTCCCTAGTCCATCCTTTTGCAGCCTGGTGTTGCCCAGATGTTTTGGACATCAGCCACAGCCGGCTGTATGGAAACAAAGTCACTGGTGGCTGGGGCGGATGAGAAGGGTTGTAATGCAAAACATCCAGAGGGCAGCTTAACTCAATGGCAGAACATCCAGTTCAATCCCAAATGGCATTTCCAGATAGGAATAGAAATGTCCCCCTGCCTGAAGCACTGGAGATCTGCTGGCCGTCAGTGTAGACAATACTGAGCTAGATGGACCAGGTGTCTTCCTATGTCCCGGTTTAAATCAGCCCTTGATTCAGAAACAAAGAGGACTGGAACCTTGTGTTGTTTTTAAGGGAAGGACCGTCGCTCAGTGGTAGTAGAGCATTTACTTCCTATGTTCCTAGTTAATAGTTGATCCGCGCTTCTGAAGTTCTCGCCTCTTGGCACACATCAGACAGGTATTATTTACCAGCTGTTCTTCCACTATAGACTTTACTGAGCTTTTAAACCTGTTGACGATCTTTACAACATGAGTGGTGATTTCCCCTCCCAGGAAGCAGAGCGGCCAAGGCAGAGTAAGGCAAGTTGCCTTTGGCTATGGAAGAAACCAAACACCTTGCGCCTTCCATGTTTAGAGGGCTTGTCTGCCATTGTTTACATGAAAACAGTTTACATGAGCAGGAGTCGAAGTAAGGAGGCGACCGTCAGCCTTTCCTTCTCAGAGACACATTTAGAGCAGAGGAGACGTACTTAGGGACTTGGGAAAGGAGGAGGCAGCCAGCTGCTCCCTCCCCAGCCTCCTGCCCCTTGGCTGAAACACTTTGGCTTTTCAGTTTACAGTTGTTGGGATTTTGTGCAAGAGGGGAGGAATGCTGGGAAACTTGCCCTTCGACTTGCTTTGCAGAAAGAAGCAGCAGCAGCAGCAGCAATATGCGTGGCAGGAGCAGAGGCCTCCAGCAAAGGAGAGTCCCCACCACTCAAGCCACCCTCTCTGCTCTGCAGAGGTAACCTCTGCTCATCAGGGAAATCACACAATTGTAAAGTTGGAAGGGCATTTATTCCAACCACTGCAATGCGGGAATCACAGCTATGGGTTACTTCCAAACAAACAAACAAAACCACCCCGCATGCTTGGGAGCTACTTTGGCCAGGAGGCAAAAATGCCCCACAACCCCCAACACAAGGCAGAGGGAAGAGGGAAAGGCACTCTGCACATGCTCTAGGACATCCCATTTGTTCGTTTTTGCTGATATATATATATATATATATATATATATATATATATATATATATATAAATATATATATATATATATATATATATATATATATATATATATATATATATAAAATCTGCAGGTTCCTAAGATGATTCCTGGCCTCCAAACTCACCTAAGAAAAAGTCTTGAATTTTGGGACCCAACTGCCCTGAGAAAGACATCTGATCTCAGGGTGACTTAAAATCAAGAGCAGGCACTGAAAGGTGTTTCCCTTCTCTGAGTTGTTTTAGACCAGTGGTTCCCAGATCATTTGGGCTACTGCTCCCTTGGTTCCATAAAGTCATCCCCATTGTTCTCTACCCTATAAAAAGCATTATTCAGAATAGCGGTTTGCAGGAAGACAATAACCCAACACAATTCAAAACAGTCACCATTAACTGCCCATTTATTCAAAATCCAGTTTAAAATATTTAGCTTCATTAACAAAACTGACAGACTTGATCCTGTGATACTAGCTTTTCAGAGTCTGATAGTCATTCACACCTGCAGCACCCCCCCACTGCCCCCTTGCCTCCGAGCAGCCCCTTAGGTAATCCTGCAGCCCCACAGGGGGCAGCACACATTGGGAACCACTCTTTTAAACTGTGTTTTAATTGTTGTAACCGACTCTGGGACCTTAGGGTGGAGGGCTTGATGATGACGAAGATAAATTAATACTAAATTAATAATTGGGAGTGCAGTGGAGAAATCATCACCTGGTAAGTAGGATAGTCTTGATACAGATTCTTTATAGGGATGTCTGACCCATTCACTGTGCAGTCGCTGTAAGGAGCTCCCATCCGCACAAGTTCATCCTAGAAAGAAAGAAAGAAAGAAAGAAAGAAAGAAAGAAAGAAAGAAAGAAAGAAAGAAAGAAATCTTAAGGGCAGGCGGGATCCCCAAACAGTTGCTTCTTGCTCTCAGTTCTCCTGCCACCCCATAAAAGAAGCACCAGATCCCTGAAAGGCAGTGACACTGCCCTGAAATGAAGAGAGGAAGGGGAATTTGCTCCCTGCATGCAAAAGTCTCTGTTTTGTTGCGTCAACGTATTAAGAAGACAACAGAAACATCTGTATATTTTCCTGAAGTCTTAGGCTGTGTACACTTCCCGGACTGAAAACATAGTGAGATCGTACTTTTCTCAATTAAGATCAAAGCTGGTTTTGTGGGGAAGTGCACCATAATGCAGAATTTTATAAGAAACAGCAGGATAGGTATGGATTGGCTAATGTCACATGTACGCCTCTTCCCAAACCAGTTGTGGGAGCATGCTTGATGCAGAATAAACAAGACCATGTGTACGGAGCCTTGCAAGCAAAGTAGGAACATCAGAAAAGCCAGGCCAAAGGGGACCATCTAATCCAGCCTCCTGTGCAAGCAACAACATTCAGCCCACCTGGGATTCCCGGAAACTGGTATTCAGAGGCGTACTGCCTCCGACAGAGGACAGTGCCATAAGAGCAGGAGGAGAGACCTGCTTTTGCATTAGGCCAAATGGGCCCAACCTAGTCCAGCCTCCTGTTCTCACACTGGCCAACCAGATACCTTAATGGGAAACCTGCAAGCAGGATCTGAACACAAGAACCTTCTGCACCTGCCCGTGGTTCCCAGGAACTGGTATTGCAGGACAGCAAGAAGGAAAGACACTCCCTATTGGCCCGACTCTTGGTGAAACTGGATTTTAGGTGTACTGAAACAGGCACCCTGATTTTCTGTCTTGCTGGATAAAGTTTGGCTTCAGGGTGGGGAGGAGTTTCGGCCAAGGAAGGCTTGGCGTTTGAGTCTTCCTAAAGCAGAGACCCACCTCCCTACTGGCTGGACCAAGCAAGTTGGCTGGACCCAAGGGAGTCTCAGCCACTCCCGTCCCCGCCCCAAGTTCTGCGAACAGTTGGGACATGCCAGGCACCTACCACCAAGACGCCAATGGAGGTCTCTGTCCCAGCCATGGCATAGATGCCCTGATCCTTCAGGAAAGGGAAGGTCTTCTGCTCATGCAGCATCAGCCAGGACCCGGCCGTCGAGGTGAGGTAGGGGATGTAGTCGTCTTGGCTGATGTCCAGGATCAGCTTCAGCCCTGGGCAAAGGGAGCAAAGACCAGTCGTCAGCAAGCAGCGCGGGGGCTGGAATCGGCAGTGGGGGGTGGGCACAAAGAGAGACACAAAGTCCCCACCTGAGCTTAATTCTCGCTGCAACAGGCACCTTTGGAGAGGAGAGGGCTTGGCTCTGTCTGGCCTGGTCTGGGGAGGACTCTGTGGTCTCTTGCAGTCTAGGGAGCAAAGCCGGCTCTGCCATTAGGCAGAGGGAGGTGGCTGACTCAGGCAGGAAAAAAGAGAGCCATCAGGGCCTCAGGCGGCAAAATAACTTGGACATGCTTTCATGCTGGGAGGGAGGCTCCCTTGGCTCTTCTGCCTCCAGGGACAAAATGTCTTAAGCCGGCCCTGCTGTTGCGGGTGGCTGGTTGCCTGCCATGCACAGGCCTTGCAGGACTGCATGGCTTCGGGGCAGAGCATTAGTTCAAGCCTCTGCTGGGCATCTCCAGTGAAAAGGTCACAGGGTTGGGAAAGTTACAGGGAACCAGGCAGAAGGCCTTCTTGGTAGTGGCACCCACCCTGTGGAATGCCCTCCCTCCAGATGTCAAAGAGAACAACAACTACCAGACTTTTAGAAGACATCTGGGGGCAGCCCTGTTTAGGGAAGCTTTTAATGTTTGATGCATCACTGTATTTTAATATTTGGTTGGAAGCCGCCCAGAGTTGCTGGGAAAGCCCAGCCAGATGGGTGGGGTATAAATAATAAAGTATTATTATTATTATTATTAATATTATTATTATTAGAGAGCCAGGAGACTGGGCCTGGCTTGACCTTTGGGTCCTAGAACAGATTAGGAATGCCCAGCTAAACAGCAGGTGCTTTCCCCATCACTCCCTCCACCTGGAGGCCTGGGAATCAGGCCCCTTTTCACAATGGCACCCTAAGACTCCAGAGGGCCCCCCCTTCCTACCCAGAGGAACCTGCAAGGACATTCAGATTTGGAGGGGAAAAGCAAAGCCAGATGTCAGGGCTGCTCCTTCACCTCTTCTGCACTACCTACCAAACTCTGCACCAGGATTGGAAGAGATGAGCGGCTTCTTCTCCACGCCCCAGTTGAAGATGTAGCAGTTGCCGTGGTCTGGGTGGTAGAGGTGGGTGAAGTTCCTGCAGAAGGAAGCCCAGGTGAGAAAAGGGGGAGAGGGGCGCACATTTGGGAAGGGAGCAGTTCACTCGGCTTGCAAAAAAACAAAACAAAAACCTTCTGGGGAGGGACCCTCTAATACACCAGTGGTCTCCAAACATTTTTTTGGGCGGGGGTCTCACCCCCTTGGTTCCCTAAACTCCTCTCCGGTCCCCTCCACCCTAAATAAAGCATTATTCAAAATAGTGGTTTGCATGACCCAGTAAGGGAGATAATAACCCAATACAGTTTAAAACAGTCGCAATTAATTGTGTGTTTATTCAACATGCAATTAAAACTAGTTTAATTCATTCAACAACATTGATGAACTTGATTCAGCGATATCAAAGTTTTCAGAGCATGATAGCCATTTAAACCTCCAGTCCCCCCCTCCGCTGCACCTTTTCGCACTTAGTGCCCCCCCCAAGGCAGTTCCACCCATTTTGGGGACCACTCTGCCACAGTCAACAGAAACAAAAACTTGCTATTTTTTGCATCAAACCTTTCAATGTCCAAAATGCCCTCTCCTGTCTGTCCAGACAAATAAAGGCTGAGAGATCAGGTTGACCTCCTATAAAGAAGCGGGATTTGAGCCTGGGTCTTCCACTCCTGCACTGGGGGTCCGTGTAGTGTAGTGGTTAGAATGCTGGACCAAGACCTGGGAGACCAGGGTTCAAATCCCCACTCGGCCATGAAGCTCACGAGGTGACCTTGGGCCAGTCACTGCCTCTCAGCCTGACCTACCTCATAGGGTTATTGTGAGGATAAAATGTGGGGGAAGAGAACTATGCAGTGCTTTTTTCTAAAAAAAATAATGTTTAAGGGTACTCTCATTTTGTCTCAAGAAAACCATCATTTTATAGTTTGAATTGGGAAAAATAAATACAGTAAATGCACAAAAGTACAAAGATTCACAAAATGTTTAGGAGTATGCATACCCCTGCGTCCCGCCAGAATAAAAGCACTGGAACTATGTATGCCACCTTGAGCTCTTTGGAGGAAAGAAGGTGGGGCATAAATGCAATCAATCAATCAATCAATCAATCACTGCTAATTCCTCTGTCCCCTGTCTGTATTTATCAGTGCCAAAAAAGCTGATTGTAAATGATCAGAGCCAGCAGCCACCACCTTACTCTGCATCATATTATCAAGGCACCAGTTGAGGAGGGTGGGGGGAGCTCTCAAAAACGCCCAAGCCAAAGACCCAAGCCACACACTGCAGCAGAAGGCAACCCCACCCTCTCCCACCAAGCTCCCTGAGCTACAAGCAACACCTGCCCCATCAAAACATCCTAAAGGGCTAAAAAGATATGTCAACTGCTATCTTGATGGCCTTTGGCCAAAGGAGTTTTCTTTCACCTTTCTTGAAAACAGAAGGAGCAGGGCCTGCCTTGAAGGTCAGGTGCATGTCGTCAGGCAAAACTTATTTGCTCACCTGATTTCTGGTCCTCACAAACAGAACCTGAGAGGTCTGGTGACAGACAGGCCTTGGGATAAAAACGCAAATTGCAAACAAGAGAGCGAAGAGCCAAGTAGAGCAGAAGGAAAGTCAGGGATGCGCCAGTCGGGTGACATTTGGCTTTTGGCACTTGGAAGGGGGGTGAGGGGGTGGCTCTCAGCGAAATCCCAGACGTCACTCCAAAAAGAACGTCATTCTCAGCCAGGGTCAGCCCTGGAGGAAAGGCCAAGGCCTCTTTAGGCTGCCTCCATGGAAAGACTGCTTCCAAGTCAAGGGGAGAGAGTTCAGCTCTTGTTCTGCAATAGAGCAGCCTCATCTGGACTCCTGGGTCCAGCTCTGGACACCACGCTTGAAGGACGCCAACAAAGAGCTTTAGAGAAGCGCAATGAAGATGGAAAACCAGTCCTGTGAGGGAAGGTTGAAGGAACTGGAGCATATTTAATAGAATCATAGGATGGTTGGAAGGGACCCCCAAAGGTCATCTAGTCCAACCCCTTGTGAAGTAGGAATTGCAGCTAAAGAATCCTTGACAGATGGCCATCCAAGCTCTGCTTAGAAACCTCCAAGGAAGGAGACTGTGGGAGGCTGGGGAGCAGGAGGTAGGGATACCTGATCCATGGAAGAGGGGGGAAATGTGCCCTTTGGGCAAAATAAAGTGGGCTTGAGTTGCAGGATAGATCTCAGAAGGGCAGCAGAAGACGCATCGGGGGCCTCTAGGCTGTGTGACTATTTTGCAGGAGGGATTCAAGAGCAGACAAGAGCTTTAGGTTGGTGCTATTAAGGCGGATCTGAGTGCTTTGCCTCCCTGGCACAACGTTCACTTTAAAAAAAGAGAAAAGAGGACTTTTTGCAGTAATTTAAATGGTGGGTAAATATGTTGAAAAGTGTGGGGTGATTGATGGAAGCCTGCAAACCAGGATTAAGGATTTGTTTTGTTGTGTAACCGCCCCATAAACAAATTAGAGGGAACACTCAGTAAAGACCGGGCTGAGTCCAACCACTGTGCCAGCTTTGCGCAAGCAAATAAAGTCAAGAGGTCGTTTGGAGGATGAAAAGAGCAATTTGACCCTGACCTGAGAAAGAACTGAGATGGAGGGTGGACTCTCCCTTGCTGGAACTCCACAAGCCCAGGCCAGAGAGCCAGGGTTCGGGAAGGTTCTTGTTCTGCAGTTGGATCATCAACTGAGGGGGGTGGTGTGGCGTAGTGGTTAAGAGTGGTGGACTTGTAATCCGGGGAACCGGGTTCGCGTTCCTGCTCCTCCACATGCAACTGCTGGGTGACACTTCTCTGAAGTCTCTCAGCCCCACTCACCTCACAGAGTGTTTGTTGTGGGGGAGGAAGGGAAAGGAGAATGTTAGTCGCTTTGAGACTCCTTTGGGTAGTGATAAAGAGGGATATCAAATCCAAACTCCTCCTCCTCCTCCTCCTTCTTCTACAAAGACCCCTCCAGTTCTAGAATTGTCCCTGTGGAAGTCTGAATCCAAAATAGGATCTGCCCACAAAGTTTTCTCCCTCTCTCATAACAGGAAGTTATTCCTATTCATAGAAGTGGAATGTCGGAAGATTCTGGACAGATAAGTCCTTCACACAGCACACAGTTGAGCACTGTGAGAACAGGAGACCGGACTAGACAGGGCATTGGCCAAATCTGCCATTGCACATCAGGAGAATGTCTACTCCATTGCCCCAAAGCTTGTGGGGTCAAGGGGAAGGCAGAGAGAGCAGTTTTGAGGTTTCTTTGAACTGCCTTTGTAGGAGATACGTGTGCAACAAGGACAGGGGCTGAGGAGGCTGTGATCCTCCCTGAGTTGCTCTTATGTGACAGGAGCTGCAGTCACAGCCAATGTGGGCAGAGCACAGTGCTGGCTGACAGATGTGCTGGGAGCCAGTAGCAGGCCCTTCTTGTTTCAGCTAAGGGGGAGAGGAAATGAGTCCTGTGCTTCTGTGAGTTCCAGAGCTCTGGCCAGTGGCCAGGTGAGCCTGACTGCAGCAAGCCCAGGTCAGCCCGCCTAGCCTGGGGCTCTGATAACCAATCTGTTAACCAATCTGTTCCTGGTTTAATTAAATAGCCCCAAGTGTTTGCTGATTGATAATTAGCTGCAATGTACTGGACACGGGTGACTCAGCAGCAGGGAAAGAAAACCCTCCATCTACAGAGCAAGCCAAGCCATTCCTCATCTTTCAGATGCAGGCAGCGAGCAAACTTTGCAGCTACACAGAAGCCTTCTTCAGTGTCCCAAGCAAGACCAGATCGCTGATTAATTCTTAGTCCTTGTATACAAAAGCAGAAATCCTTCTCATTACCATGCAACATTACCAGGTTGACATCAGCCTGGACGTGGAACATCGCTCTTAAATTTTATTATGATTCCTCTGGCATTTGTGTTTGAAAAAGGCTTCTGTGTAATCTGAAAGGTCACACGCCAAGCATTTTTACCATTAGCCAATCCAACAAAAAGAGTTTTGCTTCTCCTGCTGGATAGGACTCATGCAGCAGCTGAAATATTGGGCCAAAAGTTGTGTCCATTTCAAGGCGGGGGCAGGGGGGGCGGCGGCAGCAGATTGTCCATTGGAAGCTGACCAAGACTTGCATTCCTTTCAGCGATTCTGCAAACTGGTCTTATTTGTTCTGGCCTCTAAGCTTCTGAGGGTCTAGGATTTTAGGTCTATTAAAATCTGATTCCAGTACACTGGATGTCATTTTTCAGACAGTAATCCACCCGAAACCTTGAGACTGGGCTAGAAATTTAATTAAACCAAATCAGGCTATTGGTGCCAGTAAGAAGCACTAAGGCGGCAGTGGGAGTGGGGTGGAGCAGGATGGGACAGCTCCTTAAATCCACCCTCCGCACACCCCCCCAGCCATCTCCTCTGAACTAGGAAACGGCTCTAGCCTTTGCCAGCCGGGCACCCTCCAGCTGTTCTGCACTACAACTCCCAGGTGCACTGGCAGGGGCTGATGGGAGCTATAGTCCACATCAGCTGGAAGGCCCTAGACTGGTGGAGTCTGCTGTAGATCAACTGTGCAGTACCATCCTTGGATTTCGGGTGCAATTTGAGCCAAGGAAGGAATGGAAATTATTGATAGCTCCCTGCAGATCTTACGCACATTTCATAGCTTGCACATGTCATCTTGTACTGCAGATCTGGCGATACAAATTCACGGAGGAGACACAGCTATCAATGGCTACTAGCCATGATGGGTATGTTCTGCCTCCACTGTTGGAGGCAATATGTCTCTGAGTATCACGTGTTGAGAATCACAGGTGGGGAGAGCTGTTGCTCCCAGGTGCTGCTTGCTAGGAGAATGCTGGACCAGGCTGGGCTTCATTGGTCTGATCCAGCAGCTGGGCTCAGGGTAACTCCTTTCCTGCTGTGCATCGGATTTTTCATGCAGCTGCCCCCACCATTCTGCTCAAGCTCAGAATCAAACAAACCCCTGTGTTGCAAAGAGACCGTTGGCAATGTACAGGCAACACGATGACCATGTACATATGAAATAAACAATCTTTTATAGAATTCCTTCAAACCATAACAAGTCCAAAATGAAATCTTTAGTCTCAAAGTCTCTGAAAATCTTTAAATGAAGCGAGGTACCAAACTTTGTACAATGAAAGACAAGCTGTGAAGCTTTGTGTATTGAGCAAATATGATGTCCAACACTGAAAAGTGATTCCGGATCTAGACTACTGTTTTGTAGAATTCTTCGTCAGCATGGTGGGAGGATATAGAATTGCTTCATTAACTCATCTTATTTCGAATGAATGTATGTAAATGAAAATATCAAATGCTGTGACTACATTATTATATGAGCACTGTTCCATAGCATTTGATATCTGTACAAAGTTTGGCACCTCACTTCATTTAAAGATTTTCAGTTAAACAAAAACACAGCAAGGTCCCCCCGGATACCTACTTGTAATTGCAAGGCTCTGCTCCAAACAGACAGGCCAGGATCATTTCCTCTGCCTTGTAGCCCATCTCAATCCTTTCTCTCTCCGTCTTCTGGGACAAGATGCTGGTGGACTGCAAGACGTACCACTCGGTCACTGCTTGGGCCGCGCTGGTGAAGTTCCGGTAGGTGCAGCTGGTGCCGTTATTGGTGCACTTTGAGCAGAATTAGAGAGCGGTGAGGGAGAGAAGCAAAAGGAGGCACGTTTGTGCAGAAGAGGTCTAGCCAGGGTCACAAAATGGAACCTCCATGTTCAGGGGCAGCTGGAGTCACAGGGGAAAGGACCTATGTCAGGGGCACAGCACCTGCTTGGCATGCAGAAGGTCCCAGGTTCAGACTCTGACATCATCTCCAGGTAGGTCTAGGAGTCTTGCCTGGAACTCTGGGGACCCATTGCTGCCAGTCAGTGCAAACGATGCTAAGCTAAATGGACCAGCAGTCCAGCTTCCTGGGTTCTAATGAGGTTTCAGATGAATGGAGGAGTCAGCTAGCAATGGCTATGGGTCATGCTGCACCTGGGAACTGCAGGTGAGGATCTCCTGTTGCCCTCAGGGCCTGCTTATGGATTCTTCCTGTTGGGGCTTCTGGTTGACCCCCCTTTGGCCTGATCCAGCACTGCAGGGATTGCCTGATTATTTTTTAGCTCCCCTCTGCTGCCTGCTTGTGGCTTTATCAGAGGCACCTGACTAGGTGAGATGACGGACCCACCCCTTCGAATGGAGGTGCAACAAAGAGGGCCAAAAACAGCTTTGGGGAAGGGCTAGAGATAGCAGCAGCTTCTTCTCCTTTGCCTCCAGTTTCAGACATCCAGGGTTCATAAGGACATAAGAAGAGCTGGCTGGATCAGGCCAAAGGCCAGCATCCGGTTCTCACAGTGGCCAACCACTGTGGCTCATGGGAAACCTGCAAGCAGGAACTAAGCACACAAGCAACACGCGGTTCCCGTGGCTTCTAGCAACTGGTATTCAGAGGTACTGCTATATATAGAATATAGAGGCAGAGCATATCCATCGTGGCTATTAGCTTCTTCCATTAATTTTTGTAGCCCTCTTTTAAAGCCGTCCAAATTGGTAGTCATCACTGCCTCCTGTGGGAGGGAGTTCCATTATTCAACTATGCATTGCAGGCAGAATTTCTCTGTCACATGGTGACATGTTCCCAGCATTCCCCCCTTTCACCTGGGGCAGAGCAGGATGACTCGTGGTGCCCCTCCCCTCCCCTCCCCACCTACTGGTCCCCCCCACCTCCATCGGGTCCCCTTACCAGCTTTAAGGCCAGCTTGCAGTTCTTGCCATCTAGGTTTGCAAAAGAGGAGTGGTTTCCGAGGATGTCATAGATGACTGGATGAGTCACGTTGCTTTCATCAATGAGCATCAGGGGGATTTGGTTCCACAGCTGCATGTTCAGATCCTGGCTAGAGTTTGTTGGGCTAGACACGGTCAGGTTCTCGTTGGGAGGCTGCAGGATTCGTCCAAGGGCGGCGTCAATGAGGTTGTCCAACTCCTGCAAGTAGGGCTTTGCTTTGGAATATCTGGAAAGCAACGAACCCTAAGTTCAGTTCTCCCCATTCGCCTGTGAATTTCATGAAAATGCAACAATATCGTGGGGCAAATTTCTTCTCATAGGCACATTTTTGCAATGCCATTTCCCAATAAGCATTCTGGTATAATAATAATAACAATAATAATAATAACAATAACAATTTATTATTTATATGTAGTTTTTCACTGTATGAATTGCATTTATTCACACACTTTATCCTTGTATGTGCACTTCTATGCACATTATTTGGCCGCAGAACTAAATTTCAAATGGGGAGAAATGTGAATTTCAGGGGGCGGCTGTGTTTCAGCCTGCACACTGTTTCAGAAAGTGGAAATCTGGCCGGTTCACCTTTGAATGCCAATTCCCCCCCCCCTGCTCCCCACTAGTGGGAACTACTATAGAAATCCCACCCTCAGGTCAGGGATAAAGTGGCAGGGAGGGAAGGCTAGATTACAGAGTGATATTTCCACCAGCAAGTTGATCCTGTGGATAATTTTTCCTGGAACTTAGGAAGTGGCTGGCTGAGAGTTAGGGTCCTCCTCCTCCTCTCTGATGCCCAACTCCTTTAGAAATCCTTTCCACTTCTGACTTTCTCTAAAAGCTGCCAATTTCAGCTAAATTACCAACATCCTCCATCCTATGACCCTTGAGACAGGGTTACCCAAACCTCCCATCAGGCCCAACCAGCACAGTCATAGCAAGCTGTGGAAGGTATAAGCTGTAGCCCCAAACTCCTGGAGGGCACCAGGTTGGGGGGAAAGGCTGCCCTAAAACATAACACCTTCCCCTGGGTGTCCCTGCTCTTGCCACACGGGTGCCAACTGCTTTCCAACTGGTGGTGTGTACGCTGACCGTGAACTTTTGCCTTTGAAGGTCCAAGGCAGATAGTTTTTGTGCACAGGAATCCCCAGAATGAAAAGTCTGTTCTGCAGCATTCCAGAGGATAACCCTTGCAAGCAGTGAGAGCAGCAGATCCTACAGCCATGCTGCCAAAGGGAGGACGGTTCCTCAGGTGCAGCCATGTGGGTAGACTTCAGGAGCTGCCACCCTTTGGTGTTCAAGCAGCATCTCTTAATCCAAACTGATTTAGCACATAAAAACAAGAGGGACCTGGCAGCTGCATAAGGCCAGAGGGGGATTGTCTAGTCCAGCATCCTGCCCCAATGGGAAACCACCCCAGGCAGGACCACTGATCTTAGAACATAAGAAGAGCCTGCTGGATCAGGCCAATGGTCCATCTAGTTCAGGGTCCTTTACTATCTCTCTCTCTCTCTTTTAAAAAAATAATCATTATTAATTTAAATTACACACATATACAAAGAATTTACAATCTCATACTACAAAAAGAAAATTAAAGAAAAGAAGAAAAGAAGAAAATACAGAAAAAAGAAAGAAGATGAAGCAGATTTACGTGCATAAAAAAACCTTAATCTTCCTAATTAATACTTAAATAAACACTTAAATAAAAAAGACTTCTGGCAAAATGAGTCTTCCAATCATTCAATCATACTGTCGTCGTTTTTTCCACACTGTTTTATATTCTTTAATATTGTTCCCGTCTACTCCACAAACAGTATTTGTTGTGTTTCAAGTATCACTCAAGTTCTGCTAATATGGTGTGGTTGGTACAATATGAACTTATAGAATCCTTAAATATTCTCCATTCTCCAACTATTTTCTGGTTCAATACTCCTCTAACTCTTCCCGTCAGTTTTTCCAGGGTCCTCTATTCTCAGTGGCCAGACAGATGACCTGATGGGAAGCCCACAGATGGGAAATGAGCACGGCAGCACTCCTCTCCCCACCTCTGATTCCCGGAAATCGGTGTGATTTGGAGGCATAACAGCCTCCAACAGTTGAGGGAGAACCTAGTTGTTGTGACTAATAGCCATTAATCTGTGTAAGCCATATAGGTTGGTGCCCATCACTGCCTCCTGTGGCAAGGAGTTCCATAGTTTAACTCTGCTCCGTAAGAAGTCCTTTCTCCATCTCCCACCATACAGCTTCACTGGGTGACCCTGCTGGGTTCTAGTATTACGAGGGAGGAAGTTCTCCCTCTCCACTTTGTCCTGCAGCACACAAAGTTTTATAGAATCCTGGAACTGTAGACTTGAGAGGGACCTTCAGGGTCATCTACTCCAACACCCTGCAATACATGAGCCAGAACTATGCACCTCTGTCTCACACACAGCCTTACTTGCCTTCCACTCGGCAGACCAGCTACAAACCTCCAGATCAAGGGTGTAGAAGCTGTGGCCCTCCAAGGGTTGTTGGACTCCGACTCCCATCATCAAGCCCCATCCCTGGGGGGGGGGGGTGATGGCAACTAGAGAAGCGATGATACTCCTGATCTAGACTGTCTAGAGCAGCCTTTCTCAACCTGTGGGTCCTCAGATGTTGTTGAACTACAACTCCCATCACCCCTAGCTAGCAAGGCCAGAGCTCAGGGATGATGGGAGTTGTAGTCCAACAACATCTGGGGACCCACAGGTTGAGAACCGCTGAGATTCCCCCCCCCCCCCCATGCTGGACTGCAATATTGGATGCCCACCTTGCGATGCGTCCGAGGACATTTGTCCTGAAGCAGCTCACCTGTATGGGCTTGCATTGCAGATGGTGACGGCAGGGAAGGTCATGGTCTTGAAGCCAATGGCAAGGGAGGCGGAGACGCCGTAGCTCAGGTATGTTAGGATGAGGGACCCCCAGTTCCAGAAGACCAGGGAGGCAAAGAGCAGGGTCAGTAGGAACCAGATGACTTTCTTCTTGGGTCCCTCGCGGATGATGCGCTTGGGCCCGTGGGTGTTGGTGTTATCGCAGTACCAGACCAGCAGCTCTTTGTAGGTGTAGCCGGGACCCTTCTGGAGGCGATGGAGAGCCTTCACAAAGTACCGCTTCAGGGTCATTTTGGGCTCTGTCATTGGAGGAAACAGGAGCCCGTTAACGAAAACCGTCTGAAAAAACAACACCCAGAGTTGCCTTGCATGGGATAGAGGCCTGCTAGCTGCTATTATGGCCCCTCCCCCTATGACGCTTGTTTCATTAGTATTATAGTATTATTTTACTATGTATTGATGCATGAATTTTACAAGGGTGGGAACTAGTGTTAGAAACTGGGATAGAATAGCTAGGAGCCAAATGGCTCCTGGGAACTGGGCGCCAAAACAGAATGTCTAGTTGCCATTGCGGGCGGGGGGGGTAGGCAACACTTGTTAATTTATTGTTTTCATAATCATGAACTAATATGCAATTCACATAAGTGACACATTGTTAATATCACATTGTTAACAGAAATTGTTAATACATGTTTAATTTGGTGTTTACAATAAAAATATTGGGACCATACTTTTTCAAAATACTCTACTCTTTATTATTAAACTCCTTAACATATTGTTCTAATTTCAAACCCTGGCAGGATCATACCCACAACAAAACATTTTTTAAAAAAGCATTCCAAGAGCAGTTTAAAATATTCAAAAAAATCACATTCTAAAGCTGTTACACTTAAAACATTTTAAGGGATCTCAGGGTTGCCAAGAACAGTGTCCTTTCACCATCAGATGCCTAGGTAAACAGGAATACTTTCATATTCCTTCTGAAAGTCAATAATGAGGGAGAGCACTCTATTAAACATGGTGCCACCGCTGAAAAGTCCCTGTCATGGGTTAACACCAACTGGGCAGCCCCCAGTGGCAGTACCACTAACAAGACCTCACCGGCTGATAATAGGGTCTGTGAATAGTTGATATTCACAATTGCATTGTAAGAGCATCATATCTAATTGTTCTGTACATTTAAAATGTGGAATTTTAATTGAATATATTGGTATTGATTTTGTTGATAGAAAGCACTTAGAGTCTCCTTTGAAGTACAACACAGTATATAAAAAATAACTAAATAAACAAATGGTCCTTGACAGGGATGGAGATGGGTCTGAACCGGAGCAGGGCGGGTATGAAAAATCTACTAGGAATTTGTTCTCTGTAAACCTCATTGAAATGAACAGAAACCGGACAGTGGTGCCAGGCCTGGTGGATTGGGCCCCCTGCTGGAGTCATCGAGGAGGAAGTCAAGTGCCATTTGGATCTTCCACTCAAGGCACCAAATGTTTTGGTCAACCCTGGACTTAGATTTTGCCAGAATGATTCATATTTGCTCTCTGGAAACCAGGAGATATTTCTGCCACTCCTTTCTCCATCTATGCAAACCCATGCAGGTGGGCAAAGCTCTTTTCCCACCATCTGTACAGGGGAGCAGACTATGGCCTGCCAAGGAATGGCTGCCACAGAAAACCAATTCACTGTGAAATGGTGGCCATTTTAGCCTTCACGATGAAGAGCCAGGGAGTTAGGGTGCCATAAGCCAGAGCAACACTTCTGTGGGACTCCTCAGGCTGCTTCTAGACTGTTCTCCAGGGGAGCCAATCGTAGACCAGCCAATTCAGGTTCCATAGTTAAAGTAGTGGGTTGGGTGCTCTTGCGCAATCCCCCAAATCCCAAACTTTTTGCAGCAAGGGAGGCGAGAGGGAAAGGGAGTAGAAAGTGTAGGTTAACAACTGCTTGACATTGTGTAAAGGATAGAAGAAGAGCTCTGCTGGATCAGACCACCATCTGGCACAGTATCCTGTTCTCACAGTGGCCAACCAGACGCCCCAATGGGCAACTCAAAAGCAACCTCCCTACAAATGAATGCTTGATAAACAGCCAACTTTGTGCCAATGAAACAAGATGAATGGTCGGTAAACAGGTCACCTGGAACTGGTCTCAGGCACAAAGCAGACATGGTGGAGTTATGGGGAGGAAGGAAGAACAGACCCTGCAAATGTCCCTATTTTCCACGGATGTGCCTGATTTAGAGAAGCTGTCCCAGCTTCTGATTTGATCCTGGGATGTCCCGCTTTTCCTTAGGGTGTCCCTATTTTCAATGGAGAAATGTTGGAGGGTATGGGGGAAAAATGGACTGGGTCCCCCACCCCCTTCACTTATCCCCCCCCCCAACTACTTTCACCCGTGTTTGGTGACAGGTCTCAGAAGCTGCAGGAGGACACAAATGATTCCAAGCCCCCTTTGGGGCACCTTCTTATCCTCTGCGACTTGTTAGGGGTGCAGCTTTCATGGTCTCTAGAGACCCTCCCTCCTGCCCAGTGGAAGCAAGGAACATAGCTGCCCCCGCCCCCCCAGCAAGCCTCTGCTCTCCTGGAGGCTGAAGGAGGAAGATTCCTCCCAGGCAAGAAAGAGCTGCCTGGCAGGGGCAGGACCAGAGGTTATGTTTTTCAAATACTTTCGCCTTTAAGATACCATCGGTACATTTTGTTCTGCCGATGGAGGGCTGCGGCGGAGTTTGCATTGGCCTCGCGAGCCCTAAAAGGCACGCCTTGTACTCCTCTAGCATGCCAAGGATGCATATTTCTGAATCGGTCGATCCCAAGGTGGAATGTCGAAACGAGAGAGAAAAGAGAAACCCAACGAGTGCTTAGACAACGGTTTGTAAGGTGTAAGGGCTCATCCACACTGACCTTTGGCCCTGTTCTTTCCAGGCACAGGCCTGCAATTTTAAGCACACTTTTTCAGTTTTGCTCCAGAGCTTTCCCTGCAGAAACCCGCTCTTTAAAGCTGAATTGGACTGCCATTTGCTCTGATTTAAAGAGTGGGTTTTCGCAGGGAAACCAAAGGGGGGACACACACACTCAGACATAGAGCTTTCAAGTGCAGACCGTGGCTGGAAAGTAGAGAGGAAAGGAAAATGTGGATAAGCCCTAAGAGATGAAGCCAGAGCTAATCTGAGCAAGGCCAGCAGGGCTCAGTGGCAGGACACCTGCTTGGCATGCAGAAGGTCCCAGGTTCTGTCCTCAGTGGCATCTCCAGGTAGGGATGGGAATGTCCCTTGTCAGAAACCCTGGAGAGTCATTGCCAGGCTGCACAGATCTTCTTCTTTGGTGATCACTCGTAGCCAAGATTGTCTTCCATGAACACGGTTTTAACAGCGAGTCCGTAAGTGACTGTGGAGGCCAGTTCTGGATCCACATGTCCTTCCACAGTTGAGACAGGTTTCTGGGCAGGAGTTGATCATGGCAGAGGCGGAGCTAGCTGCTCTGGCACCCAGAGCGGCGCACATGCTATACACCTGGGGGTGGGGCGAGCCGCCCACGGGGGTGGCGTGGCGAGTGTCCCATAGGGATGTGGTAGCGAGCACAGGGTTGACGCATCCCATGGGGGTGGCGCGGCGATGTCACTCCTCTCAGGGATGACACCTGGGTGAACCGCACCCCCTTCCTCTGCCAGTGGATCATGGTGAAGATTTGCCAAGCGTGCCTTCCTTAGCGTGTTTCTCCCTTTCGTCATGAGTTCGAGCATCCTCAAAGCCCATGACACCTTTGGTAAAGGCTGTTCCCCAATTGGAGCACTCGCAGGCCAGTGTTTCCCAGTTGTCGATGTTTACACTAGATTTTTAAAGATTTGCCTTGAGAGAGTCTAGTTTGTTGACCACCAACATTACGTTTTCCATTTTTAAGTTTGGAATAGAGTAGTTGCTTTGGAAGACAATAAGCAGGCACCCGCACAACATGACCAGTCTAACGAAGTTGATGTTGAAGAATCATTGCTTTGAAACTGGTGATCTTTGCTTCTTCCATTGCACTGGCATTAGTTCGCTTGTCTTCCCAAGTGATAATATGGAGCTAGATGGACCAGTGGTCTCACTCAGTTTTCTATGTCCTGGTTTAAATCAGCCCTTTATTTAGAACAATGAGAACTGGAACCTTTTGTTGCTTTTAAAGGAAAGAACCATAGCTCAGTGGAAGTAGAGTATTGCTTTTCACACAAAAAAATTCCAGGTTGAATTCCCAATATCTCCAAGTGGAGCTGGGAATGTCCTCTGTCGGACACACTGGAGAGTCGCTGCCAGTCAGTGCTCGCAATACTGCACTAGATGGAAGCAAGTCAGCTTCCTCCGTTCTCTTTGATGGGGCACAGAAGACCTTGTGAAGAGAAGCAGCTGTGGGGACTTTCATTCTTACAGGGTCCCATTCTTGTCCATTTCTGATATATGTTAGTTAGCCCAGGAGGCAACAAGGTCTTGGATCTTAAAGTTCTTCCCAATGTTTAGTTGGAATCTCCTTTCCTGCAATTTGAATCCATTGGCTTGATCCTACCTTCTGCAGTAGCAGAAAAGAAGCTTGTGTCATCTTCCATGTGGATTTTTGAAGATGACTATCAAATCAACTCCCAGTCTCTTCTCCAGGCTAAACTCTCTCAACCATTCCTCAACGGCCTTGGTTTCCAGCAGTGTTAGAAACTCAGAGATATAAGCTAGGCACCAAATGGCTCTTTAAACCAGGGTTTCATTTGCCAAAACGGAATGCCTAGTTGCCATTTTGGGGCCAGATGGCTTGAAAGTCATATTTTCAATAAGACTTTTTTGGCTCCTGAAATTCATTCCGATTGTGCAGATAAAATATAATGGATAGAATTCTACAGGATGTGTTGCTAGTGTGTGAAAAGGGTCAAGATCCCAGGATCCCCAGGAATGCACCTCCAGAAGGTGGAGAGGTCAGGCGCCATCCTGGCATCCAGGTATCTTCACTTGGTTGCAAGTGGCTGCTAGCACAGATACAAAATGTGCCTGGTATCTGGTGAATTTTGAATGTTGATTTCCAGACCCTTGATTAACTTGGTCTCTCTCTCTCTGAACACCTTCCAGCTTGTCAATATCTTTCTACAACTATGGTACCCAGAACTGGACACAAGATTCCAGGTGGGGACTGATCATCTTCTCAGATATCTATCTATCATCTATCTATCTATCTATCTATCTATCTATCTATCTAAGCCTTCATCCGAGGATCACAGGGTGGTTTACAATATAAAAACACAAAAATACATAGTAACAAACAAAAACGAACCTCCTCTTCCAGCTTAAAAGGCCATGTTTAATTAGCCAAAGGCCTGGGAGATGAGGAATGTTTTTGCCTGGCACCTAAAGATATGTAATGAAGGCACCAGGTGAACCTCCCTGGGGAAAGAACTCTACAAATGGGGAATCACCACAGAAAAGGCCAGATAACTCCCAGATAAACACACCCAATTCTTCACCTGTTCCTCAGAGGTCTTGTTTTTTTCCATATCGCTGACCATCTTTGGTCTGATTCAATCAGCAGTTGAACTCCTGATTCAATCAGTTGAATCCCGCCTTGGTCTCCTGCAGATCCTCATCTCTCGCTGCCCTGCCCCAAATTGCTCTTTCATAAAGCCAGATGGAGATTCCTCCCCTCCCCCAGGGGCCATCTTCTTCTTCTTCTGTACGCAAACCCCATTAGAGAAGAATGAACTCAGGTTGAAGCAAACACACTCAGACTCTGCTAGGCAAAGGCTGCCATGCCAGGCGCTCTGGGCGCGGGTGTTTGTTCCCGGATGAGTCACTCATCTCCCCAGCGGGCAAATGGGGATGCTGTGTAGCTAACGAGAGGTGGCCAGGAGCCCACGTTACCTTTGGCAAAGCACCAGCACACTTCCTGGGTGCCTTTAATTTTCCCAAACATGAACGCACACACTGCAAAACCTGACGGCGGCATATGCAGAAAATGCAAGCTGGCTCATGAAGAAGCACGAGGCAAAGGGGGAGGGCCATAGCTCAGTGGCAGAGCATCTGCCTTGCATGCAGAAGGGCACAGGTTCTATCCCCAGGTGGGGCTGGGAGAGAGAGTCCCCCTGCCTGAAACCCTGGAGAGCTGCCATTGTCAGGGCAATAATTCCAATGGATTGCTGAATATTGCTTCATTGGATAGAAGCTGTTTATTTTAAAGTTACTGTGACTTTTTTTGCATTGGATCTGATTGTTATTAGCTGTGTGATCTTTGCTGTCTATTTTGTCATTTCTTCACATTGTTTATAGTAAGTGGTACTTTGGTTCTCAAACTTAATCCATTCCGGAAGTCCATTCCAAAACCAAAGCGTTCCAAAACCAAGGCGCGCTTTCCCATAGAAAGTAATGTAAAATGGATCAATCCTTTCCAGACTTTTAAAAACAAACCCTAAAATGGCAATTTAACATGAATTTTATTATCTAACAAGACAATTGATCCATAAAATGAAAGCAATAAACAATGTACTGCAGGCACACAATCAATCAATCAGTAGCTGAACTGGGTTCCACACAGTCACAAAAACAAAACAAAAAAGCCGCAAAAACAAAAACACAAAATAAATAGCAAAAACAGACAGACCTCAGCGTAACACTCAAAACGGAGCATGTTCGGCTTCCGAAAAAAAGTTCGCAAAACAGAACACTTACTTCTGGGTTTGCGGTGTTTGGGTTCCAAGTTGTTTGAGTACCAAGGTGTTTGAGAACTGAGGTACCGCCGTATAGAAAGGTGGGATACAAATTAAAAGTGAAATGAAATCCATACTTACTTTCTTCCCCATGCTTACTATTCATCCCCCCCCCCATTTCATTTCTAGGCACTGGTCCACACTTTCCCAGTCCATGTCTGAGCATTTTGGGGGGTGGGGGGTTTGCCATGACATTTCCCCCACAAAAACAGGCTCTAAAGCTGAATGGCAATTTGGGATTTATGTGGATTTATTTTCAGCTGTAAAGAGCAGGTTTTTACAGAGAAAGCAACAGGGCCAAAACCCCCAAAACCTGCTTGGAGATGGAGCTTTAAAGCATGGGCCCGTACCTAGAAACGCAGCACAAAAGGAAGTCTGGATGAGCCCTCCATGTAGAGACTACTGAGCTAGATGGACCAAAGGTCCAGCTCAGTAGAAGGCAGCAGCGTCCAATCATGCTGTCATCTCAGGGACTGCACCAAAGTCAAACCAGGCTAAGACCCGCTGCTCCCTGAGGCTGGGGAAAAAAGCCTCTCCACCTTGGTCATGGGCACTGCAGGCCCAGGGAGCGGAACGGGTGTCTGCAGACGGCGCACAGAGTCCGATCGGGAGGCATTTGCAATCTCTAGGCTGGCAGGCCGGCTGAGTGGCAGGGAGCCAGTGGCGGAAGCCAGAAGCAATGCGCTGTGACCAGGCAAAGGAAACATTTGCCGGGCATGCAGAATCTGTACTACAATTGGCCGCAGTTTTGCTTTTGTGAGGAGCACCTGCAAAGTCAGCTGTCGTTGCATGTGTTTGGCAAACTCTGACCCAGCAGGACGAATCTTTAGGCTTCTTTCTTTGTGCAAACAGCAGTGTGTGTGTGTGTGTGTGTAGCTACGGCTCTCGTCCAGTCTAGGAAGACTTGTATAGAGGCACTACACATTTTCAAAAGCCAGAAGTGGAAAAATTGAGGACAAGTTCCGCCTCATCCATCTCCCTGATGTGGAAAGAGAGATGACTGCAGGAGAAGGAAGCAGGGCCATAGGAAGGGGTGGGGGGGTGGGGGCAGACCGTCCTGTGTGCCCTCACCGAGGAGGTGACATTCGGCGCGCCACTCTTATTTTTAATATCATTTATTATTTTTCCAAAAACACTAAAAGAAAAAAAAAGAAAGAGGAAAAAAACAATACAATACAACACATCAAATTAACAAAACAAGACTAAGACAATAAAATAAATCAATCAATTTCATTATCCCATCTTTCATTCACTTATTTCCACGACCTCCTCACACCTCCCTTTTTGTATTCCACTTCTATTAATTATTTCAGCAATTTCTTTCCATCCTCCTCTGTTTTCTATCCTTGGGAGTTGCGCCACTTGCCCACGACTCCCAAGCCTACCCTGAGCCGTGGGGTTAGTGGGGGAGCTGTGCCATTCTGTCAGCAGCATTCCCTCTTTCCCACTTTGTTTTGACAGCTTGGGGGAGGCTTGGGAGTTGAAGGCGGGCAGTGCGCTGAATGTCTGCCATGGGTGGCGTGCTCCGCTCCCGTGGGCTGCTTGCTCTGCCTCCGGCTGCACGCCGCTCCAGACACCCAAGCAGCTATCCTGGGAGGGCACCCTCCACACCATGCCCCCCTTGGGAGTGCGCCCACCCTGGGCAGCGCAGATATATGCTCCGCTGCTGGAAGGAAGCCCATTCAGCTGGGTCTACAGCACTACTGTAAGACCATCCCAGCCCTGATTTGCTCCTTTGGCAGAGCTGGGACTGGCATTTTTTGAGTCCTTGGCAGATATCAGTAGCCAAGGAGCTTGGGGGGGGGCTGGCAGACCAGGAGGCTCCCCCATTCTTGCAGGCCCTTGGGTGGCAAAGGGCCCACCTCCATCCCTTCCCCAGGAGACCTCAGGGTGAATGGACAGGAAGGAAGAGGAGGACATCTGGCAAGATCCAGTGGTGGAGTGGAGAAGGGCCAAAGCCTCACCAATAATTCCATGGCAGGGACATCCACATCTTCTCCCAGATCACAGCCAATCCTCTACATGCCAAACAAGTCAGAAGCTGTTCTCAGAGAGAGGTCCCCACTCATAGAAGCTAAGCAGGGGCAGGGGGAATCAATTCCATCAGCATGCACAGCCAAGGGTTCAAGTGTACCTTCTATTTTGAGAAAATCCCAAAGCCGCTTTCTTAGGACCAACAGAAATGCTGCAGAATAACTGAGCAAGCTTTTGAGTCCATCAGATCTCTTCCACAGGCTGGAAGTTAATCAAAGTGGAAGGGATGAAAGAATTGGGCGTTCAAGCCACTGTGTCTGCCCAGGCCAAAAGCACCTTTTTGTTGGATAGGCTTAGAAGGGAACCTGTGCTGTAGCGCACCTGGAACTCAGAATTTGGGGAGGGGACATAGCTCAGTGGCAGAGTTATCTGCCTTGCAAGCAGAAGGTCCCAGGTTCAGTTCCTGATGGCATCTCCTGCTAGAGTTGGGAGTGACTCTTGCCTGAAATTCTGGAGTGCAGCTGCCAGTCAGTGTGGACAATACTCAGCTAGAACAATGGCCTGACAGTATGGCAGCTTCCTATGTTCCTAATTTGCATCTACACGCCACTGGTGGGAGTCTTGCATCCAGGATCACTCCATGCGAGGAGGGAGCCTGGAAGGCATAACTGCCAGAGGAGAAACGGATCAGAGAGAGTCATCTTAGGACCTGTCCTGGTTTTTCACCACCACCCATTTCGCCATGCAGGATACGACTGCATCAAGCCTGTCTGCAAACTGAGCTACATCCACCCAGTTGATCTTTCTAGGCGCAGCCTCCCTGTGCCTTACCTGGTGAGCTTCTGTCTTCTCCAGTAATTGCTGGTGGATCCATAGTGATCTAGGACGGCGTTGGCTCAAAAGATGCCACAGGGGGAGTGAAATGGGCAGAGGGCGCTGTCCTCCATTCGCCAACGGGAGGTGAGTGCCTTCCAAGACCCACTCAAGTCCCAGGCAGAGCTAAGGGAGCTTCAACCAGTAGCTCCTTCCTGTGGCAGAATTTCTCAGGCGTTGGCAGCAATGGCTGTTTTCAGGAGCAGAATAAGCCTTGGGTTACACATGTACAAAAGGGGGTGTCCCCTTTGTCTCCTGCAAAAGGGAAAGAGGCAGATTATAAATGACCATTGTTAAAAATGTCATTATCACCACCTGTCCCTTTCTGCATTCATTTCCTTCTGACTTCGCTGTTCACAATGCCCCTTCCCTCCAAAAACCCCCACCTATGTGACTATATACCTGCAACTCAATACAGTGGTACCTCGGGTTAAGTACTTAATTTGTTCCGGAGGTCTGTACTTAACCTGAAACTGTTCTTAACCTGAAGCACCACTTTAGTTAATGGGGCCTCCTGCTGCTGCCGCACCGCCGGAACATGATTACTGTTCTCAACCTGAAGCAAAGTTCTTAACCTGAGGTAATATTTCTGGGTTAGCGGAGTCTGTAACCTGAAGCGTATGTAACCTGAAGCATATGTAACCTGAGGTACCACTGTATCTGATTTAATACACCTGACACAGTGGCATGTACTCCACAAAAGCTCTTCCCATTGTGAATTTGTTAGCCTTTAAGGTGCCACAAGACTCTTCTCAGGCTTTCAAGGCAGAGGGATGTCTTTAAAACAAATTGTTTAGCAGTTTTCTGTGTTTTTAGCCTACACCATGCAGAGACAGGAGGCACAATTGCCTTGAAAGTGCAGCAAGTTTAAAACTCATCCCTCAGAATCTCCTCTCAACATTTGAAGATCTCAAAGTCTGAAAGGATGCACACAGATTTTAAAATTTGGGTTAAGCTTTGCGATTGTAGGGGGGTAAATGGATCCTCCCTGCAGTCTTTCTCAATACAGGTAAGAAGCATCTCATGGGGCAGGGGGATGAAAACAAATGCTTGAATCTACATAGAATCACAGAATTGTAGAGTTGGAAGGGACCACCCAGGCATGTTCAAAGTCCATTTTGGGGGCTTAATCCGGCCCACTGGTTAGTTTAATCTGGCCCCTGTGGCAGTTTATTTCCTGGGATAAAGTCCTAAAAAACCTCAACAATTTCGACCCTAAAAAATGGTTAACAACTTTGGTGGGCCCTCATGGCCCTTCACTTCATCAAATCTGGCCCTCTTTGAAAAAAGTTTGGACACCACTGATCTAGTCCAGGGGTAGGCAAGCTAAGGCCCAGGGGCCAGATCCGGCCCAATCGCCTTCTAAATCCGGCCCGCAGATGGTCTGGGAATCAGCGTGTTTTTACATGAGTAGAATGTGTCCTTTTATTTAAAATGCATCTCTGGGTTATTTGTGGGGCATAGGAATTCATTCATCCCCCCCCCCCCAATATAGTCCAGCCACCCACAAGGTCTGAGGGACGGTGGACCAGCCCCCTGCTGAAAAGGTTTGCTGACCCCGATAGTCCTACCCCCTGCAATGCAGGAATATTTTGCCCAACGTGGGGCAAATTAAGCATGAGATTAAGAGTCTCTTGCTCTACGGACTGAACTACTCTCACAGATGCCATCAGAGCTCGTACTTGCTGCTCCGATTTCTTGACACAGCAGAGGGTCCATGAAGATCCCCCAGAAGAAATGCAAAATGGGAGTGTAGGGCAACAGAGGAGCAAGAGACTGCAGGAAAAGCTCCAGGTAGGCAAGGAAGCTAGATGGGCCCAAGGAGGCAGCAGCAGCAGGCCTGACTGTGTGACTGAGAGCTAAAGGAAATGCAAACAAAATGTCCCAGGTTCAGTCCCCAGGTCAGGTTGGGTGAGACACCTGCCTGAAACCCTAGAGAACCACTGCTGCCCGTCGGTGTGGACAGTACTGAGCTAGAAGGACCCAATGGTCTGATGCAGTACAAGGCTGTGGGAGACAGGTGAACATCTCCTGGGGTTTTTGAAGCCCTCCCTCCAGCAGCTGTTCCACCTGTGCTGCTCACTCAGCTGTTGAAACTAAGGTGTGGCTTGTGAGCGTCAGCTGGGAGCACTGGATTGGCATCCCTGATGCTGGGGAAAAAACTCTGCCACCCACAACAACCTGGCCTGTCATCAAGCTCAGCAGGACACACACTTCACCTGGCAGAGCACCGAGGATGTTTTCTGGCTAGCATGGCAAATGGGACACATTTGGGGAAACAGAGCTCTGTGTTGCTCTTTGGATGCTGTTTCTAGCATGCAGAAACGGGGTTGCAAGAGCTGGTCTTTGACAGGGAAGTTGAGCAACAAGGCAGAAGAGAAGGACTTTTATGAGCACAGCAAAGTTGCTCACTTAAAACAGGCAGAAACTGGACTCTGGGAGTCCAAGACTCTTGGCACCCAGACAGCGCAAGGTCCTCCCTCCATCATTCAGGCTGCCCGTGGCTCAGAGCCCAAAGCCTTCAGGTTGGGAAGAACAAATAGTTTGAACCACCTGAGATCACTCACTGAGCTTCTTGAACTTTGACTCCTCGTTTGGAAACTGGAATAACCACCATTTAAATAAGCAGAGATCTTTGATAGGCCGGTTAAGGATGCCTCCAGCTCTTGGCTTAGGGACTTATTCAAGCAAACGGTGGCAGGAGTTATTTGAGTATTTCTAGCAATAACTGGGTTTTTTATATTATTATTGATTGATACCTGCTTCATAAGAACGTTAGAAGAGTCTTCTGGATCAGGCCAATGGTTCATCTAGTTCAACATCTTGTTCTAAAAGTGGCCAAGCAGATGTCTATTATAAGACACCCACAAGCAGGACTTCAGCCCCAGAGCACTCTCTACCTTCCTGTGGTTTGCAGCAACTGGTTTTGAGAAGCCGGGCTGCCTCCAACTTTGGGGGCAGAGAATAGCTATCATGGCTAGTAGCCCTTGATATAAATTTGCTGAATCCTCTTTTAAACCCATCCAAATCGGTGGTCATCCCTGCCTCCTGTGGGAGGGAGTTCCAAAGATTAACTATGCAATGCATAAAGAAGTGTTTCGTTTGCAGGCGATCAGCTTGGCTTAAACCACCCTTCCCCAAACTTGATGCCTTCCGGATATTTTGGGTGGCACCTCCCATCAGCCCCAGGCAGCATAGCTGCAGGGCACAGAGGCTGGTGAGAGTTGTAGCCCCAAACTTCTGGAGGGCACCAGGTTGGGGAAGGGTCAAGGTTAATCTTCAAAGGAGCCTTTCCCAATAATTAAAAAAAAAAGAAAGGATTTGGTCTTTAGCTGGAACTAGGGAAGGGCAGTGCACTTTGGTGACTCTGACCTTCAATGTTGCTCCCATATAGAATCGCAGAGTTGGAAGGGACCACAAGGCTCATCTAGTCCAACCCCCTGCAATGCAGGAAACTTTTTTGCCTAACATGGGTTTCGAACCCACAACCCTGAGATTAAGAGTCTCATGCTCTAACAACTGAGCTATCCTTCCTGTGTGCTGCTGCCGCCCCCTCCTCCCCACAGCCAGCATGATCTGCTCCAAAGCCTTACCCCCCTCCCAGGGTCACTTCACACATGACACACTTTCCCATATAACAGCAGAACATTGTGCACATGCCAAACACACGTTTTCCACGATGTAAATGAGCTGCACTTGTCAAAAAGCTGGTGGTTTCAGTCTTGCACAATTCTGATTCTTGGGGAGTGGCAGCGGGCAGCCAAATCTGGCCCTGGCAGAGAGGAGTGGAGCAGGTTTAGGCAAAACTGTGCATCCCTGCTCCCAATTGCGTTTGCGTGTGTGTGTGTGTGTGTGTGTGTGTGTGTCATTATTCTCCCAGTTTAGCTAACCCTGAGCCAGAAAACAGCCTCAGTGTGGCCAATAGATTACTATCCCCCCCCCTTTCAACACGGAGGTCTCCAGAGGAGTTACAACAATCTAAAAATGCCATTACAGTGGTACCTCAGGTTAAGTACTTAATTCGTTCCGGACGTCCGTTCTTAACCTGAAACTGTTCTTAACCTGAAGCACCACTTTAGCTAATGGGGCTTCCTGCTGCCGCTGCGCTGCCGGAGCCCGATTTCTGTTCTCATCCTGAAGCAAAGTTCTTAACCCGAAGTAATATTTCTGGGTTAGCGGAGTCTGTAACCTGAAGCGTCTGTAACCCAAGGTACCACTGTACTGTACAGTATTAAATCAGTTAAAATAAATTGCGGTCAAGAGAGCATTGGAGGAGCCCGACGATCAAAGGACACGGGGTAGGGTAACCTAGTCCAGCATTTTGTTCTCACCCTCTTCTGGGAGGCCCACAAACAGAGCCTGAGCGCAGCACAGACACCGCGGCTGGTAGCCACGGATAGCGTCATTCACCGCCATGGATTTTCTACACCTGTAGTGCTCTGCCACTGGAACTCCCTGCCAATTGAAGGCTGGAGAGCTTCAGAAGACGAGAGGGGAAGCAGCAGCAGAAGCCCAGATGGGTGAAGCACTTGCTCGCCCCCTGGGAATGAAGTTAACCCCTTTCTTAACCTAGGGAGGTTCTCTCAAGTTTTAAGGGGGGGGGAAGAGAGATTTACATCCTATAATCATCGCAGGTAAAGGGGAGGGGTTTTTTTTGGGATGTAGGGAGGCAGCTTTCAGACCTCTTGGAAGAGGGAACGTTCCGGACTCCAATAAGCAAGAGTCGTATGAACTTGAGCCATGGGGCCCCTTCTGTCTTCATCGAAGGCGACCCTTCCCGCTCTGCTAGGGATTCCTCCTGTTCTCGATCCCTTAGGTGGGATCAGGGGCGCCCCCCCCTACCGGAGATGATTGCTTAGGGGAGCCGGCGGAAGAGGCAGCCCTCCGGTTCGACGGAGTCCCCGGACAGTTTGATTCCCTTTCCCCCCACTCGGCTCGGAGGGGTTACTGGAAGGAGCGACCCGCCCATCCCTCACTTGCCTCTCCGCCTGCTTGGCGGCAGGTGCTCCCGCTGGTCCCGCGGACGCCTTCCTGCGTCTTCTCCGACGGCTCCGTCTCAGGCTCCGTCTCTCCCTGGAGCTCCCGCCTCCTCCGTCGCCTCTGCCCCTTTCTGTTGCCCGGAGCGCCCTCCGTTCCTTCCCACCTCCCTCCCGCTCACTTGCCAAATCCTCGCCCGCCCCCACCCTCAGGTCGCCACCTCTTCCTCAGTCTTGTTAGTACAACGGCCCGGCAGGCGGAAATGCGGCCGGCGAAGCTTTTCCCAGGCGGGAGGATGCGGCTCCAGTTGGATTCCTCCCCGTCGGCGGGCTGGGAAGGGAAGGCGTGCCGGGTTTAGGGAAGAAAAAGCACTCTGAACATGCGCAGAAGCCGTCTCTACGCCAACCTTTCCGACAGGGGGCGCTGCGCTTCTGACTACCAGGGCTGCGAGGCTGCTCCCGCTGCCCACCCCCTCTGGCGACCTTTCAGTGCGGGGCAGAGCAGAGAGGGAGGGGAATCGGGACCTGCCTGACTCGGCTGCTGCAGAGCAACCACCCAGCCCAGGACAGGTTTCCTCCAGCTCATAGCCCCATCCCGTCCTGAATTCTCAAAATGCCTCTGAATTAGTTGCTGGGAATCGCAGGTGGGGAGAGAGCGTAAGAAGAGCGTGCTGGATCAGGTCAACGGGCCATCTAGTCCAGCATCCTGTTCTCACAGTAGTAGTTGCCTGTGGGATTCAAGCATAAGAGCCCTCTCGCCTCCTGTGGTTTCTCCCCTCCAGTGGCGCTCAGTTGCTGCTTGGTGTCTTTTCCCATTGGGACATCCCTTTGGCCCCTGCGAGAAAAAGATTCTGGGCTGAATGCAGCCTCTCTGGCCTGATCTGGCCACAGAATTTTTCTTATGGAACCTCCAAATCCAGGAGTAGTCTATCTAGGTCCTGGGAGGTCACGTTGAGAACCGGATGTTGGCTTGATTCAGCACTGCAGGGCTCTTCTGATGTCCTCACGGGACACTCTCCATTTAAACACAGGAAGGTGTTGATGGGGATGGGCTTGATCAGACCCATGTCCGGTGTCCTTGTCTCAACAATGCCCCTGCAGGGCTACCAAGCGGGGCACAAAGTTAACCAGGGAGCCACCTCCCTCTCCACTGTTTGTTGCTTCTGACTTTGCACATTCCAAGATAAACTCCATGCTTCTCTGGAGAGAAACCAAACAGATTGGCCACGAACCTCTTTGTTCCTTCATGAGGGCCGGTCTCTTTGCCTTCTCCTCTCCAGAGATAGCAAGCGCCTTTGCAGAGTTCACCAAAGCCCTGCTGATGGCAGACACACAGCTGGAATTGACTGTGCTGGCTTCCTTGGAGGAGGAGGAGGAGGAGGAGGAGGAGGATGCTTAGGAACATCTGAAGGTGCCATCTTAAAGAATTGTAGAATTGGAAGGGACCCTCAAGGATCATCTACCAGTGGTGGCCAAATTTGGCCCTCCAGCTGTTTTTGGACTACAACTCCCATCATCCCTAGCTAACAGGACCAGTGGCCAGGGATGATGGGAATTGTAGTCCCAAAACAGCTGGAGGGCCAGGTTTGGCCACCACTGATCTAGACCAACCCCATACAACGTGTCCCTTGGTCTGTGTAGCCCAAGTGCTCCGCTTTTAATGCCCTGATCTCAGGCAAGGTGGGAGGGAAGCCTAGAAAGAGAAATGCACTCTGCACATGCCTAGAGGCCCTCTTCTCCGTTACTTCAAACATTCCTGACATGGAATATGCAGACCCTTATCAGCATCATTATTCTAAAGACTTCTCTGTTGTCCTCCACAAAAGCTTCCAGGACAGTTTGTTGACTCTGAGCCTGACATTTCCCCTGCCAACGCTGCCTCTTTGTTTTGTTCCACCGCTTGTGCAATTGCCGAAACTCACATCATGGGGACTCATGTGCAATGTATGACTTACAGTGCCGGGCTGTGGCCATTGCACTTTTCTCAGTGGGACTCTGGAAGAATGAATGCATCATTCTAAAAGGCCAATCGACGAGCAAGCAAAGCTCACATAAGACAAAGCCCAGTGGACCGTTTTTGGCACGGGAAGGAAGCTCTACGTTGTGTAAACAAAGGGTTCATGATGAGTTTGGCAGCTGGGGAAGCCAGAGGGCTCTCAGAGCAGCAGGCAGGCTGGTTTTGCTTTCAAGACATGAATTGCTGGCAAGCACCTGTGTGGCTGCTTACACCTTAAAACACACCTCCCCAGCCCACCCCCAAAAGAAGAATGGGAACTGTAGCTTCCCCACAGAGCTACAATTCACAGTACTTAGCAAACTACAGTTCCTAGGATTCTTTGGGGGAAGTCAAGTGCTTTCAGTGTCTGGAGTGAACACTGACAGATGTCTCTCTTCAGCATTTCATAGGATCATAGAATTGTATACAGGCAACCTGTGATTTGCACGGGGTTTGCATTCTGGGTCACTGTGTGCACTGGTAAGCTCATAAGCCCACCCTGTCCCCATTATGCCCTGTTATGCCCCTGCCCCCCTCCATTATGTCCTTTTCCAGGTCCAAAAACAGCCCATGTGTGCATGGTCACATGTGCTTTGAATGTGCACAAAACAGCCGTTCCCTGTACAGTGGTACCTCGGGTTAAGAACTTAATTTGTTCTGGAGGTCCGTTCTTAACCTGAAACTGTTCTTAACCTGATATACCACTTTAGCTAATGGGGCCTCCCGCTGCTGCCGTGCTGCCAGTGCGCGATTTCTGTTCTCATACTGAAGCAAAGTTCTTAATCTGAGGTACTATTTCTGGGTTAGCGGAGTCTGTAACCTGAAGCGTCTGTAACCTGAGGTACCACTGTAGTTGGAAGGGACTCAGAGGGTCATCTCATTCAACCCCCTGCAATGCAGGAATCACAGCTGATTTCCAGAAGTGATCTACTTTGGATGTCACCTGGATGTCCAACTGTGCAAAAATTAGGCTTATATCTTTCCTAGTACCCATACTGGAAGAAGAAGAAGAAGAAGAAGAAGAAGAAGAAGAAGAAGAAGAAGAAGAAGAAGAAGAAGAAGAAGAAGAAGAAATCTCCCTTCTTTTGCTACAAAAAATGGGTGCAAGTTGCTTTATGAAGCAAGATCAGAAGAGCCTGGCTGCTGGATCAGGTCAAAGGGGCCCATCTAGACCAGCATCCTGTTCTCTCCATGACCAGCCAGATGCCCCAATGGGAAGCCCACAACAGCAGGTCTCTCCCTACTTGTGCTTCCCAGCAATTGAGGCACCCTATCTCCAACAGTGGAGGGAGAACCTACGCATAAAGGCTAGGAGACATTGATAACCTCCTCTTCCATGCATTTGTATAATCTTCTTTTAAGGCCATTCAAGTTGGCTACCCTCCTTGTACCCTCCCAGTAGTGATGTATGGAAGTGAGAGCTGGACCATAAAGAAGGCTGATCACCGAAGAATTGATGCTTTTGAATTATGGTGTTGGAGGAGACTCTTGAGAGTCCCATGGCCTGCAAGAAGATCAAACGTATCCATTCTTAAGGAAATCAGCCCTGAGTGCTCACTGGAAGGACAGATCGTGAAGCTGAGGCTCCAATACATTGGCCACCTCATGAGAAGAGAAGACTCCCTGGAAAAGACCCTGATGTTGGGAAAGATGGAGGGCACAAGGAGAAGGGGACGACGGAGGACGAGATGGATGGACAGGTGTTCCCAAAGCTACCAGCATGAGGCAGTGGAAGACAGGAGTGCCTGGCGTGCTCTGGTCCATGGGGTCATGAAGAGTCGGACACGACTAAACGACTAAACAACAACAACCCTCCTGGGAAAGTGAGTTCCACAGTTTAACTCTGCACTGTTTTGAGGAAGTCCTTTAATCTGTCCCAAACCCTCCAACATTCAACTACATTGGATGTCCATGAGTTCTGGTATTAGGAAAGAGGGAGGAAAAAATGTTATTCGCTTTCTCCACACCTTAATTCTATACGCCTCTATCACGTCATCTCTTACTTGCCTTTCTTTCTAAGCTAAAAAGTCCCAAATGTTGAAAGCAACCTTTCTTCAGAGGGGTGTTGCTGCATCATCCCCTTGATGACCCAGGTTGTCCATTTTCTGGCTCTTTTGCAACCCTTCCCCATGGAAGGACAGCAAAGCAGAGAGAGGAGGACAGTTCCACTCTTAGGAAATGGTGAGGGAGGCTGACGAAGTTGAGAGTCATGTGCTTCCCTGACTGAGACATTCTAGGGAATTGACTAGAGGCAACATAGACTGAGTCAGGCTACTGGTCCATCAATCAAGCTCAGTGTTGTCGGCACTGACTGGCAGCAATGGCTCTCTGGGGTTTTTCAGAGAGCAGACCTCCCCCTGGAGATGCTGTTGAGGATCGAACCTGGGAGCTTCTGTGTGCTAAGCAGATGCTCTGTTGTGAAGGTGCATAGCCCTTTCTTTTGGGATGAGAGAGCCCCCCCCCTGCTGTTTCTCATATAACAAACAGAGCCCAAGCAGAAGCAAAGAGGAAAACATAGAAAATACTCCAGGGAACAATTTTTGGGCAGCCTCTCCAGCTCACCCCCGCCCAGTTTCTCTCTGCCATTCCACCTTGAACCACTCCTTCTCTCTCTAGCCTGTATTACATTTGCAAATTTGAGAGCAGCTTTCAACTGAAGGGTATACAAAAGCTCTCCATAAAGCATAAAATCTAAATATTCACCCGCCAGGCTTTTGCCTCATGCCCGTGAAAGTAAACTACCTGCCCAGAGCTATGAAAAAATTTGAGTCTTTGGTGACTTCCAAACCATTTAACACACATTTAAAGCATATGGCTTTTTACTAAAGAACCTTGGGAACTGCAGTTTGTCAAGGGTGCTGGGAATTGTAGCCTTTGGATAGAGACAGTTTCCAGGACTGGGGGAAAGCATGGTTTTTAAAGTGGTATAAACATGCTTTAAATGTATGGTGTGGATGTGACTTTCATTTATCAACTCTCATACTCCAGTCACACTTCACATGAGGAAAGCATCAGAGAGAAGGCTCCTCACGCTTGGACCCCCAGCCTTGGGGTGAGCCCAGATTCCTCCCAACTGAGGAGGCAATGTGGTGTAGTGGTTAGAGTGGGAGACCAGGTTCAAATTCAGCCCTGAAGCTCACTGAGTGACTTCAGTCTCTCTGTCTCTCTCAGCCTTGCCAAACACACAGTGATTTTGTGAAGACAGAAGGGAGGCAGAGAGGACCAGACACATCACCCCGAGCTCCTTGGATGAAGGTTTGCAATAACAAATGAACAAATTGAAATGACAGGCTTACAAAGCAGTGACGTGAAGACACTGTCAATCCTGCCACCATGATTCAGGCATGTTGTCTGTCTTAAAGAAAAACCAGGTATATGAACATTCAAGTGTTTATCGTTTCATTCTTCGCTTCTGGGTGAAATCTGGTTCATCCTTGAGGAGGGAAAAGATGGAACATTTCCTAGTGCCACAGCCAGTGTCTGTCTTCCTGCATTTCAGGGGTTTGGAGTAGATGATCCTTGGGATCCCTTTCCAACTTGACAATCCTATGATTCCCCCTTGGTCTGTTATTCCAGGAGTGACCTGCTGGGTTTGTGCCAGCTGCAGAAAAATCACAGAAATGGAGAAAAGTCAGAAGCTGAAGTTTGGCTACGAAACTGGCCCTCTGTTTCAGAGAAGAAGCCAGCAAATCCTGGTTGATGAGCCTCACATCCTCAGAGTGTCTTACAGAGGGGTGGGGGCTCCCTGTGGCCCCCCCTTCCAGGCACTGG